TCCAGTGAATCCTAGTTAGTGAAAGTAGCACTGCCAAGTAGTTTCATATTTGATTCTCCTGGAACCCTGGGAATCTAGGCTTTTAATGGTCCTAGGTGAATTTTAATTTTAATCTCTTGACTTGGGTTTGCTACATCATTCAGGTAATATAAATCAGACACACTTGGCATACAAATAGTGTGTCTAATTTTCACTGGTTGCTTTTTATTTTCCACCCAAGATTCCAGGCAGACTATGCTTTCTGAGGCCAGAGGATAGAGTTTGTTCTCACTCTCTTTTCACTGAGAGGGTGGTTCTTTAGGGAGCATGGCCTTATGTGGAAGTTCAGATCTAGGTCTTTCTTCTAGCACCTGGAGATCACTTCTCCTGTGGGGCCCTAAGGCCTATGTCCAGTCCAGAATGCTGCAGACTGCCTTTCACCAGCTTTCTAGAATAACTGTTCATTTCTGGCACCTGGAATTTCCCTTGGTCTCTTTCAAGTTTGGAATGTATTGATTACTTTTAGAGTGTTCTGTCTTACAAAGCATTTCTTTGTATTTATGATGATAAATGACATTATAACTTGTCAGACACGTTCTTATCTCTTTTTAGCAAATAAAGTCTCAGAGTGACAGCTCAAGGGTTTCTACCTTGAATTTAATAGCACTGTTTTATTTTGATTAAACTTAGGCTACTGTTTCCTTTAGGTGAGTGATTCTAAGTTTCCATGTGTAGTGATACAAATCTTTCTTTCGGAGCAAATTTGAATAAGTCAATTTAAATAAAAGTATTAAGTAAATTGATAAGGGCTAGGTGACTGAAAAATCCATAAAAGTAGTATGTTAATATTCAAGTTTATAGGATACTTAAAAGCATTTGATGCTCTTCTGAGCTTTGTCCTCATCTTTTAAAGTGTTCTTTTATGTTTTAGCGACCTAGACAGGAAGATGTGTACATCAGCCTGAGCCTGGGCTGAGAGTGTGGGAAATGGGTTATGGAAATCAGGGCATAGTGTGAGTCAGATTCTCCCTTTAAAACAAGCAATAAAGATCGGAATTAACAGTAGTACTGCTCAGAATGGGTTGGATTAGCATGTGGTAACAAAGAAACCCAATATCTCTGGGTAAGACAAAACAAAAAATTCTTTCTTGCTCATATATCCAGTGAGCTTTGTTTAGTAGAGGCTCTGCTCCTCACAGACATCGGGCTGAGCTCCTCCATAGGCACCAAGGTGGGGAACAGTACGCGGTACCCATGCTTTCTCCGAATTCTTCCTAGAAGTGAAATCTGCCACTTCGGCCACCGTTTCATTTGTCAGAGCGAGTCGCATGCACACCCTAATTTCAGACGGGGACAGGGAAGTACACATCTACCACGTGTGCAAAAGGTGGAGAGCCAGAACTGTTTGATGAAGATCAGTGATGTTTGTAAAACCACCCAGCAAACAAACAATTCTGGATCCATCCTCTAGATGGAGATGTGGAGCTAAGCGTCTTTTGGAGAGGATGGCCACAGTAGAGTCAGTCTTGTGTTTGCAACTCCCCCCAACATGTTTGGTACCTCCCTGCTGTATGCAGAAAACCCCAAAATAAGTAGTGACTACCGATGGATACAGTAAAATACTCACCTTCAGGATGGATTGATTAGTTACCCAACCGATCCTGAGAGGCGTCCATTACTGATGTAAAAGTCCATGCTATTTCATTGCCAGTTATTCTGTTTGGCCGCTTTATTTCTACAGTTATTTATAGGCCTAATGGATGAATGTGGTAGTATTGACAATGGCCGCAACTTGGGTTTCTCCCAGGTTTGCCTCTAGGCTATTCTGGTTCAGTGTTCCTTCTCTCTTTCCTGGGGTTTCCTAAAAAAGTCTGTCCCCATGGCCTTCTGTAATATCTGTGGGTTTGTGGGTCCCTGGCTTCTGATCACTGCCTGATCACAGCTTCAGTTTTTCTCTTCCCTCAGGCATGTCACTTTTGGTTTTCAAGCACCTCATTAACAGGGTCTCTGCTCTGTGTTGCAAAAAGACATTGAGAGACAAAGGCTCTATTTACTAACTTCAGTGCATCCAGGGCACTTACAGTCTCTACAGAGATCTGTAGATCTCGGTATTTAGCACTGAAATTTACCCTTATCTGGGCTAATAACTCAGATTTCAGGAAATTTAATTATAATTTGTCTAACCATGACACATACTTCAGTTAAATCACTGATCCTACATTATGTTTAAAGTGAGGGGATATAATACCTTAAACTTAGTCACTGCTTTATAATTTTCAGAGTACTTCCTTATTCTGTTTATCCTCCACAGTCCCTATAGTGTTGGGTATTTATCATCTTCCTTTAAAATCACAAAGGTAGTTCATTTTCTCAAGGTTAATCAGCTTGTCAGTACTAACAGTAGAACTATAACCCATAACTAGACCCTCATATCTAAGACTCTTTCAATTATTCCATGATGTTGCCCATAGCTTAGAAACATCAACAAAGCCTGCAAAAATTTAAGATGGATACTATCTATTTTAAAACTTCCTATTGGACCTATGGCCAGCACCCTTATGTGCCCTCTGAAGCAAGTAGATATGATGTCTTTTTTTTTTTTTTTTAAGGTTGACTCCTAGGCAACTAGTGAAAATCATGTACGTGTGCATTTAGGGAAGTTCAAGTTCAGTAATTCAATCCAACACATATTTATCGGGTGTTTATACCAGGTGCTGGAGATATAATAGTGAAGACGACAGATACGGTTTCTGTCCTCATGAAGCTTCAAGGTAATGGAGAAAGCAGTTACAATAGACAGCAAGAGGGACTTCAATAAAGGAGACAGCATTTTTTTCTTTCAATATTACTTTTAGGCATTGCACAGTCTCTTTTATTGGTGAGGGAATGGAGGCACAGAAAGATTAGATAACTTACCATACGACCCAGCAAGGGATGGAGCTAAGACTTGGATGTCACGACTCTCAGCAGCGTTTCGCTGTGTCACGGGTACTACAGGGCTGATGTCAAGGGGAACACACCCAGATGACAAGGCATCATTGTAGGCAGATTTGGAAACCTGCAGCAGTATGCGAAACCCAGACAACTATCCCTCTGGGTCTCAGGTCTTTCAAAACCAGGGTCCCTAGAAGGCCTTCTCTTTGCCCACCACTCCCACCTCCACTGCTGGACAGTTCAGTTTGCTGCCTCCCAATGCAGTGATTCTTATTCCTGCCATTACATTATTGTCTTTGACTCACATGCTGACCCCTCGCTCTTTTCGACTAAGCTGCAGGACTCATTTCAGAGAACATACACGGCAGAAGCCATAGCAAGTGCATGGAGAAAGAAACTCCTGATGTTTTTGAAGAGGTCTGTAGGGTTGACAGGTAAGGATGAAGGCATTTACTTCTCTCAGGAGCAGCTCTGAGTTGTTGGTAACAGTTATCATTATTTTAACTCCATCATCCCATTTTCACGACAAGAATGGGGCAGGTCTATTTCAGTCTTCTGTATCCTTAGCACAGAGTAAACACACAGTACATATTTGTTGAATAAGTGAAGCAAGTAGTTATCACTAGGGACATAGGATTTTGTTTACATCATAGGCTTTATTGACAATAAGGGGTTTAACTTGGATCCTGAAAATATTGATCATCCAGGTTAGCAAACTTCAAGTGTGTGGTAGACCTGGATTGAGGTGGAGAGGAGTCACAATAAGAGAGGGAGAGATTAAATTTAAGACTTTAACACAAAGGTTTATCAAGTTTAAATTTAGAAGGGTGCCTACATCAGAGATATTTACCCTAGATGAGAGAAATTACATGAAAGCCCCCAAGAAGAAAAATATATAATTGTGACAAATGGGGACAAATTCAGATGTACTGAATGAAGGTCAGGAGATAAAAATAAGTCAAGGGGAATTTATTGTGAACAGTGGTTCAATTCAGTTCAGTCAGTCAGTCATGTCTGACTCTTTGTGACCCCATGGACTGCAGCACGCCAGGCCTCCATCACCAACTCCCAGAGTTTACTCAAACTCATGTCCATCGAGTTGGTGATGCCATCCAACCATCTCATCCTCTGTCATCTCCTCCTCCTGCCTTCAATCTTTCCCAGAATCAGGGTCTTTTCAAATGAGTCAGTTCTTCGCATCAGGTGGCCAAAGTACTGGAGTTTCAACTTCAGCATCAGTCCTTCCAATGAATATTCAGGATTGTTTTCCTCTAGGGTGAACTGGTTGGATCTCCTAGTTGTCCAAGAGACTCTCAACAGTCTTCTCCAGCACCACAGAAGTCTTCCTATAAAAGCATGTAAATTTGCCACAGTTTCCTCAGTATTTGTCTGTTCCCTTCCACTAGTCTTACCTAATGGGCTAATATAAACAGTCCCAGGTTCAAAACGGATTAGAAAGAAAAGATAGTAACTCGTGACCAAAACCATCTTCACCAATGTGTAATTCACAATGAATTTTTCAATATTCAAAGGAGAGAAAATATTAACAGTTGGTACCTCCTCAGGGATGTCAGGCACTTTCCATTCATTGCTTAACCTTGCAGCGGCTCAGTGAGGTAGGTGGTATATCCCTATTTTACAGAGAGAGACCAGCAGAGCATGCTTTCTTATACCCATAGCAGTTTAAGTAGTATGCTCATATTTACACAGAGGAAGAGATACATACAAAGTCAGGTCTGTCCTTACTCCAGAGCATATATTACATCTCTTGTTGGAAAGAAAAAAGTTAAATGTCTCCTTAAATATATTTTATTAGTTATTTACTTTTCCTGTTTTGAATTTCGTGAGATGTGTTTACTTGTGTGAACTGAGAGAAGTGACTCGCTATGTGCACAGAGGAAAAGCTTTGTCCGTGGTTCTCACTCACAGTAACTGCAGAAAGTCTGTTTTCTAATTTGGGGCCACTTACAGTGGAATTCAGTACGTGTACTAGGTTTATTGAAAATACTGTCCTGGAATCTTCCTTTTCAAAGAAAATGAAATCCCATACAGTGTTTTACACTCCTTGCTTTTTTTCTTTTTTCCAGACTGCTGTCAGAGGATGTAGGAATGGACATCCGCTTTGAGGAGGGAATGCTGAGTCCCACCGATGCAGACATGAGGCCAGGTGAGAGAGTGTTCGTTCATTTCTTTCAGCGGTGTTCTATATCCAAACGTGTTCATTATTCAGCGACAGAACCATTTCCTCTGCATCCAACTTGTGATTTCAGTGATAGAGGTGAAGAGAGGGAAAAAAAAATGTGTGAGGAAGGTGTTAGGCTTGATGTAGTTAATTACAGAGTTGACTTGAATAACCAACGAATGCAGGCTACCCTTTGTCTCCCAAGCCATGCCTAGATCTGCCAATGTTTTCAGTTCCTGTGATAATGGTTGCTTTTTATCATAATACCAAATTCTAACCAACATCTGAGTTCACCAGATTTACACTTAAGTGTGAGAATGTTTAAAATTAGTGATTTACAGAGAAATGCAAATCAAAGCCACAATGAGGTACGATTTCATGCCAGTCAGAATGGCTGCTATCAAAAAGTCTACAAACAATAAATGCTGGAGAGGGTGTGGAGAAAAGGGAACCCTCTTACACTGTTGGTGGGAATGCAAACTAGTACAGCCACTATGGAGAATAGTGTGGAGATTCCTTAAAAAACTGGAAATAGATCTGCCATACGACCTAGCAATCCCACTTCTGGGCATACACACCGAGGAAACCAGATCTGAAAGAGACACGTGTACCCCACTGTTCATGGCAGCACTGTTTATAATAGCCAGGACATAGAAGCAAGCTGGATGTCCATCAGCAGACGAATGGATAAGAAAGCTGTGGTACATATACACTATGGAATATAACTCAGCCATTAAAAAGAATACACTTGAATCAGTTCTAATGAGGTGGATGAAACTGGAGCCCATTATACAGAGTGAAGTAAGTCAGAAAGAAAAACACGAATACAGTATACTAATGCATATATATGGAATTTAGAAAGATGGTAATGATAACCCTATATGCAAGACAGCAAAAGAGACACAGATGTATAGAACATTCTTTTGGACTCTGTGGGAGAAGGCAAGGGTGGGAAGATTTGAGAGAATAGCATTAAAACATGTATATTACCATATGTGAAATAGATCGCCAGTCCAGGTTGGATGCATGAGACAGAGTCTCAGGGCTGGTGCACTGGGATGACCCAGAGGGATGGGGTGGGGAGGGAGGTGGGAGGGGGGTTCAGGATGGGGAACACATGTACACCTGTGGCTGATTCATGTCAATGTATGGCAAAACCACTACAATATTGGAAAGTAATTAGCCTCCAATTAAAATAAATTAAATAAATAAAATTAGTGATTTAATATTAAGAATGCTTAGTATCCTGACTATTAAAAAAAGAAAACCCCAAAACCACACTCTAAGAATTTATGACCCAAGGCGTATACAAAATGGAATTTAAAGTTTTTAGTTGCAACTTGTATGACTTCTACTTTGTACTAGGTTCTCTCCTTTGCACTATACCAGCTGTAGGATCTCACCTAGATCCTGAACTCTTGAGATTATTAGTCAAGCCTAGAATTGAAAAAGAAGGGAGTCTTTTTTCTTTTTTTCCTGTCCAGGTATTTAAAGTATATTCTTCAAAGTACTAATCATGTGACATAACTCTTCTTAAGTGTTCCCTGGCAGAGTAAGCACGGGAGCCACTGCCCCACTCTTCTCCACTCTTCAGAGTCACAGTTCTGTCTCTTTTCTCTTTTTGTTATTTTGGCCATGCTGTGTGGCTCGTGGGATCTTAGTTACATTACCCGGGATCAAATCCTGGTCTCCTTCAGTGGAGGTGCAGAGCCCTTACCACTGGACCATCAAGGAATTCCCACAATTCACTTTTTAAATTTAATTTTTATTCTATATTAGAGTGTAGTTGATTTACAATGTTGTGTTACTTTCAGGTATATAGCAAAGTGATTGTTATGCATAAACATAATCCATTCTTCTTTGGGTTCTTTTCCCATGTAAGTTATTGAGAATATTGAATAGAATTCCCTGTGCTATACAGTAGGTCTTTGTTAATTACCTATTTTATATATAGTAGTGTGTACATGTTAATCTCAATCCCACAATTCACTTTTGAATAATAAAGGTGCTAAAGCTTTCATTGTCCTGTAGGGTAGCTGTTAGCCACATGTGGCTACGAAAGTTAATTAAAATTTAAAATAAACTTGAAATGTACAGTTTGTCAATTGCACTAACTTCATTTCAAGTGCCTGTAAGCCATATATATAACATTTCTACCATCACAAAAATTTTTTTTTGGACAGCACACCCCTGAGAATCCCTGTGGAATCCCAATGTTTTACAAACTTACTAGTCAACAAGTGTGTTAATCAGACAGTCATGTCCAGCTTTTTGTGATTCCATGGACTATAGCCTGTCAGGCTCCTCTGTCCATAGAATTCTCTAGGCAAGAATACTGGAGTGGGTTGCCATTTCCTTCTCCAGGGTATCTTCCCGACCTAGGGATCAAATGCTGTCTCCTGCATTGCAGGCATATTCTTTACCATCTGAGCCACCAGGAAGCCCCTCAATGTTTTACAAACTTATTGGTCAATAGAAACTTTCTTTCCAAGTAATACATAAAGATATTACATGGAACACAATTTAGGTGGTATTCTATATAGAAAAAAATCTTAATGACAAAGAAACAGTGTTAGTTTCCTTGGGACAAGACCAGAGTTAGAACTGCAGAATTGATAGGTATACTAGATGGCCTTCAAAACCTTTTGTTATAGGGAATCCTGAAATTTTTATTATTAATGTGTCTCTGTACCATTGTTTAGCTGGGATCAACTTGGTTAAAGATTACTTCTCCAGTTCTGCTTCTGATAAGTGAAAGGCACTTGAGCAACAAGATGCATATTACAGTGGAAGAGTGGAAACTAATTCCATGAGCCTTACACAAGGAGACTATCACTATGGTTCAAGAACCAGTGTCAGGCAATATTGGCATAAGAAGTAATGACTGCTTGACCAAGGAATGTAATCTGGGAGGATACCTCGGTTTTTTTTTGAAAAAAGAAAGAATGCCAGCCAAGGAAAGTTCATAATAGAGTTGTTAGGAACTAAAGAGACATATTTGGGGAGTATCTGTAAACATAACATAAAGTTCATATCCTCATTGTAAGTTATATGTAAAGCTTAATTGTTTCTCTTAATATGCATCATAAAAAATTTAATCCAATATTATGTCAGTGCCAGGTTTTCAAGCCTGAACAGGGCAGTTCTAAAGACTAGATCTCTGCCCATTTAGCAAAGACTCCCGCTTCCTATTTCTGCATGACCAGAGCTGATGTGGCTGGAGCAAGCCAGTACTCAGGCCTGCTGGTTAAGAAGGGGGCCAAACCCTAAGTAAGGACTTTTAGCAGGTGGAGCCTTTGCTGAAAGGGCTTTAAATTGTTTCCCACTGGGGCCACACCCACTGTTGGCAGTCCTGTGTATGATGGTCTAACACTTACTGCTGCTCTTTATCTTCTTTAGAACCTCCTAATTCTCTGGATCTCGATAGCACTCATCCTCGGAGAATCAAACTCACAGCCCCAAATATCAATCTGTCTCTGGATCAAAGTGAAGGGTCTGTTCTCTCTGATGATAACTTGGACAGTCCAGATGAGATTGATATCAATGTGGATGAACTTGAGACTCCCGATGAAGCAGATTCTTTTGAGTACACTGGCCATGGTAAGTTGCCAAGTTGGCAGGCGGAAGTTAAGTGAAAGATTATCTAATCACATCTAATGGCATCTAAGTGGCATTAGGAACAAACCTCCCATTGTGTTGCTGCTGGCTGCTTTTTTGTGATTTCTAGAAGCTTCTATTTGTATCTCAGGTTATAGGTGGCCATGATTGATGGTTTAGATCTAGACAGAACAGGTATGGTTCACAGAGGTCATACACAACCATCACGCCTTTGTCAAACCCCTGCTCTGTGCCAAGCCTTGTGTTTGGCTGAGATTGGAAGAAAACTGTTACATTCTGTGTCATCAGAAAATTGGGACTGGGTTTACAGAGAAAGAGAATTTAATCTGGAAGATAAAACTTGAAGTGGAAAAATTAGAGCTTACCAATTTCTCTGTACAACCTCCCATGGTCTGGAATGTTCTTTCCCACACATTCTACATGGGTGGTTCCTTGTTTTTATTCAGATCTTAATCAGATGTCACCTCCTCAGAGAGGCCTTCCTTGACCTCTGTAGTCAGAGGTACCCACGCCACCCCCACCATCTAGTCATACTCTACCTCAGTATTCATTTTATTTTCCATGTGTCACACTAATTGAAATCATATAATTTAACTGTTTGCATCTTACTTATCTTTCTCTTCCTATTAGAATGCCTATTCCATGAGGCCAGAGACTTTCTTAGGCTTGATGCTATATCACTAATAAAGTACGAAGGAAGGAGGGATGGGGTAGGGTGTGGTGGAGGGAGAATAATAAGTCAGAAGATTAAAAACTTGCTTATCAAACCTGGGCACTCCTGATATGATTACCAGTCTTATTATATGATTTAATATATTATATCATATTATATTATATGATTACCAGTTCTTTCTCTTGCTCAATAAAATTGCTTTTGTTAAGAAATATATACACAGTATTTGCTTTAAAAAAATGGCATCATGTAGTTTCAGCTTTACAGGGTGGCATTCTTTGACTTTATAAATTTGAATTTGAAAGTAAGAGAATCCTGGCTACATCTACTGCTTTGATATATTGTGAAAATTAGTAAAAAAAGAAATACCACAATTGAACAGATGCCCTGACTTTTACAGCCATACTAATTCCAGAAGTTTCATTCATAGAAAAACATAACTAGGAAATTAGGAGAGTCAATATCAAATGACTTAATTAACTCAACCAATGGTCATTGAGCAACCAGGGCTACAACCACAACCAGCCTCGATTCAGACCCTGCTTTCACAGTGTGGAAAGCTTTACTTCCTCCAGCTAAGAGAACAGGATGTAGCTAAACTACTTGTATTATAGTTTATTATGTTTAAGTAGAGATTTGATATTGCATTTTATCATGTTCTTAGATTCGTATAGTTATCGGGATATTTGACCCTGTGAGTTGAAATACACAAACAGAAGGTGAAAGGTCTTGACCTCATATTCTTTTCTGCCATCTCAGACACTCTTCCTCAGACACTCCATCCTTTCCAGCTGCCCCCAGCTGTCCCAGTCCCTTTCCTGCTAATAAACCTTCAAGTGTAAAAATCATGCGTTGACTTAAAATCTCAAAGAAGACAGCTGTGGCATGACCCTGCAGGTCCCTCCCTCTCCTCACCCTGTACTTCTCTGTTGCCCTGGGGAACTGTGTCACCCCACATCTGAACCTTTTATTTTTATAAATAGTAAAACTGTCAAGCCAAGTGGTGGTGGCTGAGCAAACTGGTAATTAGAGCTGCCACTTGCTGACATAGTTCTTTTTATTTAGTCAACACAGTTATGTTGAAAGAACCAGTTTAACAGCCACAACCCTGCTTAAAAGAGAAAATTTTAGTGTAAGTTGAATTTTAAAGTCCACCTTGATTTTCACATGAAAGGAGTATGTTCAGTCACCAGCATTAAATGTTGAAAACACTAAGTATATCTGAATAGCTATGTTTTGTAATGCAGACACAGATTACTGACTATAAAAGAGTCTAATGTATATTAGAGTCTCAAAGTATGAAAGTAACGCTTGAAAGCTGCATAGTTTTGTTGGTTTTTGTTTCTTATGCGAGTGTTCTAACTAGGCATATAGATTCTAAACAAAACTGGAGTTTTTAAGTCACAGGGTTTTAAAAGTGTTTGGTCAGTAATTAATTTTATTTAATGAACACTTTTCATAGTGCTTGCTGTGTGTCAAGATCTGTGCTAGCTGCTTTATAAATATTAACTGTATTAATCCTCATGTCAACTCTGTGAACAGGTATTATGTTACCCCCAGAGGTTTAGTGATTCACCTAAAGTCACGTAGCTTAGTAAATGTCAGAGCCAGCACAAAACCCGAGTTGTTGTCTGCAACTTTTGGGCCATGCTCCTTCTCCAGAAATACACTGACAGTGAACAGGAGGGTCTTTTACTGTGTTAGGATAGCATGCCTGAAGTCAAGCCTAATGACCCAACTTCACATTTGCATGCTGTTTTAATCCCACCATTTTGGGGTGACTTGAGGGCCCTTAGTCTCCCAAGTGCTTGAAGGATGTTCACACTATTTGCCTGTTTTAGTCAGTAGCTGGTGACCAAACATTGATGCCAGATTATTTTGCCCATGGTGTGATTTTGCTTATGGAAAAGATTTTGAAGCTCATTATCAAAAGATGTTAAGTTGGTCATCCCTTCCAAGCAACTTTAATAATTGTGTCCGAATAGCTGGAAAATACCAAAGGATGATATAATGGAGGCTTGATGTCCTTTGATATTTATAAATGCCAAAGATATAAAAAATATGTAGATAGTGAAGGATTTACCAGATTAGTCTTTTTTTAACTAAGGGAGATCTAGCTTTTTAAAAGATACTTTATTAAACTAATTCTATAAACTTGAAATATCCAAAGTCAGAAAAAATTATGATGACCTATTTCTGTTTTCAAACTGACCGCAGAATTATTTTTGCCATAATTCAGATCTAAGCAAAGGCATTTTGTAAGGGAAATGGAAAAATGATAAAGAATTGTAGCCTGAATATTTCTGGTAAGAACACTGTAAGAAACATTCATGTGCTCATGTATTTTTTCTTCCTAGGCTCCTAGCAATGTTTAGTGACCTCATTTATCTTTTCTAAAACTAACCCCTAATGATGGACAGTTTCCTATGTGAATAAGGTGGCCTCACATTTTTTTCCAGATAATCAGGTAGTCACTTCATTTAACTTTTATTTCTGTGGTCATTATTTTCACAACCTGCAGGCAACCAGCTTATGAAATCAACTCCCTGTTTTAACTCTGCTTATAAACCAGTCAAGTGCGGAGCTTATTCTGTTGTACCCACAAACATGATACATGATACATGATAATGGTGATGTGGTCTGATAAAATAATTTTTCCTTGTATTTTTGTGTGCTGAGTTTTCACATTCCAATTAACTACATACCTGTTCTGAAGAACTTTAAAGACTTTCTTAACTGTGTATAGGATGTCTTTCCTCTAACAAAAAGTTCAAGTGGAGTGGGGGACAGGGGCTGGAGTCTGAAAAGATGATAGATCATCAGAAAGTTACTCTTGTCTTGTCATCTGGGAAAAAATGTGCCTAGGACTCTAGAAATAGCAAGGAGAACGGAGAGAGCCCATTTGAATCCCAGCTCTGCTCTTTCCAACAGGACTGAACCATACTTCGACAGGAAAAAAGTATTTTCTCAGTTTGTGATACTGACAGAAGATGAAGCTTCATTCTGTCAGGAAAAGCCTGTAGAGATATGTCAATATGCTTTTGAACAATCTGGGGGAAAAAAAAAAAGATTATTTTCCTTAAAAAGCTCCCTCCCCCTAAAACCATATATGCTTCTGGCTCAACAAAACCTTGATACACATTGGATACTAAGTAGCAATAAAAGGGAGATGAAAGGTATATTAAAAATGAAAATTAAAAACTAGTTAATAAATCTCCTTGGGTATTTAGCATAATATTAAACATGTCTTGAATGATGAAGTGTCATTTAGGAGGCACTCCTACAAATTAGATTAGTAACATTCAACCTATTCTCTAGGTCAGTAGTCTAGATTAATACATAGTATGTTCAAGATTCATATATTAATAACTATGCCTATGTTAGTGATCAAATATGTCATGAATAATAATATCTAAACTCATTTTCTTCCTGGGAGTGATTTCTAAAGATAATACAAATAAGGGCGGGGGGAGCTCTTTGGCTTAAAAAAATTAGAAGTTCAAACATAATGAATGTCTTTGAAGGCATTTTTCAGATTATTCCCATTATCAGTGCAAGGGCATAACATAGAGACCAAGTCCCCTTTACAGATGTATGTCCCTACTGGAGGCCACAGCTGACCTCATCTCCCATTGGTTCATATGATCATCGACGGTAGATTCCTCACTGTGATCTTTCAGCACAGGGTATTCAGAGCCTGTGTCCTAAATCATCTCATCAAAGACAAAAGAAAATGTTCAAATTGACTTCTCCCTTGTGTACCAGGGCTAATTGATTTCAACAGTAAGCAGCAAGGGAGAAAAGCTTGTTATTCAGAAAAGAAGACAAAGAAAATCAAGCATTTCTTAGTGATGAGAGCATGAGACCAAACATTAAATTTGAAGGGCCTAGGGACAGAGATTTAAATGAGACCCGAAACTTTTGAACATAGTGAGAAAATGATGGCAGGGGGAAAGATGGTAATTTACAGTTGTAGCAGAAGGATTATTAAGATCAGGAAGATACTGTTAATTCAAGGGAGTAAAACAACTTACCTTTACTTCCTACTAGCTGAAGCGACTTAGCAGCCAGCAGCAGCAGCAGCTTACATTGTTGACTTCTAGAATTCAGCACCTTAAGAGAGTGTACTGTCCCCCTACCTGTTATAGAACTCTCTATTTAATTTACATCAATCAAAGGAGGTGGGGAAAGGAGGTCCCAAACAGGGTAAAGAGGTGTTGGTGATGATGCCTACAGTGTAGATAAGAGCAGGTATATACTGGAACCTCAGAAGACAAACCCACACCTGAGCCCAGAGGTCTGAGGGAACAGAGACAAATAGGAAAACAGGGTCCTGGGAAGGGGAGCTGTGAGGGGCATCCAAGGGCCCTAACTCAAGTGGAAATAGCTGGAAGGGATCTCAGATAGGGAGTCCAGAGCAGATGGATGGATTTGCACAAGTGACACAGTGCTTAGTCAGAAGCCAAGGTTGCTAGTTTGCTGTCCTGAGTAAGCAGCGAGTGCTGGTGGGAATGCAGAGAAAGCCAGAGTGAGGCCAGGCTCTGTAGGTGGTGGTAGCTATTGGTGTTGGCAGAAGGCGCTAGGACTGCTTCCCAACTGGCTTTCACTTTGCTATTCTAAGTCACAGGTAATTAGACGTGTTTGAATCTGTCTTGCGACATCTTCTGGAACATGACAGTCCTGTTGTGGCTCCGTTACAGATTACCTATATTTCCAGGAACTTGTCCAAGTTTTCTTGACTCACTCACCTTCCCAAGTTCTACTGAAAACTCTGTGCAGGTTTCCAAGCTGAGTGTGAAGTGGGTTGGTGAAGGCAGATATTAAAGATGGAATTGGCATGATTCCTTAGCCCAAGGAACTCACTGCCTTATAGTAAAATAAATGAGACTGAGACAATTACACATTCAGGGTGCAGTGTGATAGCTTAGAAGAGTAGAAAAGGTAAGGGTTTGATTATATTTCCTTCCTGATTCTGTGATCTGAGGTAATTACTTCAGAGTTTCTGCATTGGTATCATGTCTGCCACTACATCTCCTTTGTGCCTGATCATTTGGTAGATGCTTAATAAATATTGCTGTTACTGTTATCAAAGTGCCATTAAAAGAATGCAAGTGCAGTGTAAATCAAAGGCAATTTCTTATGAAATGGAAAGTTAAGAATGATAAAACCTCATAGAATTATTGTGAAAACTATAAATAAGCCATTATTACCAAATTACATAAACATACAAAGAATAACCATTGTTAAATTCTACTAGTACTTGAAGTAAAAAGGGAAACAATTGTTGCTTGTTCTTTAAAAAAAACTAAATATAGCTGGTTTTTTTTTTTTTTCCGATGCACAAGAGTGAGTAGTAAATTTTTCCCCAAGAATGCTCAGTGGGCTTTTTCATTACCTTGGGCACCCACAAGTAAGAGTCTTGTGAATTTGGGGGCTTGGAGCACTTCTGGTTTATAAGGTTGCTCCTCACTTACTGTAAAATCTTTGTGTAGCATATTTTGAAAAACTTATAAGAAGTTATATCAAATTAATCCCCAGATGTGCTCCCAATAGAGGAGGTTCAAGCCCACTGTTAGAGTCTTAGAGTGGAGCTCTAGGCTGGCAGTATCATCAAGATACTGAGCTGAGCGGCCCCAGAACACTCTGGGCACTCAGGTTATACCAATAAATGTGGCCAGAGAAAAATAAGGCCTGATGAGTAATAGCTTTTCACACCATCAGAAAGACCGCAGGCCACAACCTGTATGATCAAGAGAGGAGTTAGCACCCAGTCTATCCCCATCTTGGACCACTACAGACACAAGAGAGCTCCAGCCCTTCTCCTAGCCCCACCCTCAGCTTAGCCTTACCAATGGATTGGTCATTCAGTCTGTCAATCAGGAAGACCTCACTGAGTGTCCTTGATGAAGTCCCGATGGTGTCAAGCTCCCTGGGAGCCTCGGAGCTGCACAGAACAAGTTCATCAGGTTGAGTCTGCCAGGAGATAGCTAGTTGTTGGACTGCCTCACCTGTAGAGGTCCTGCCCATTCATCCTTGCTCTGTGCTTCATTTACAGAGGATTCCACAGGCAACAAAGATTCTGGCCAAGAGTCGGAGTCTATTCCAGAATATACGGCGGAGGAGGAGCGGGAGGACAACCGGCTGTGGAGGACCGTAGTGATCGGAGAACAGGAGCAGCGGATTGACATGAAGGTCATCGAGCCCTATAGGAGAGTCATTTCTCACGGAGGTAGTGGATCGGGAAGCCGGGAGCCCAAATTATAAAACAAAACTAGGGCTCTCTGCAGCATGACATCCCTATTAATGTTAATGCTATTAGACAGTCAACATTCAGGGCACTGTAGAACTGCGTGTATTATTCATATGCAATTCAGTGAACACTGGAAAGCCTACTATACAAAAGTAACTTTCCAACGTGAAAGATGCCTTTCACACCACATATGATAGCTGTCATCTTCTGTGCAAACTTCCTGAAAGCCACAGTTGTCTAATTCAATAGTGTCTGTATGGAATTCCTATGGATTGCTTGTAGGGTTTTAACTGAATTGTTTTCAAGTCTGTTTTTGACATGGCCTGCAATAAGAGGTGCTTTTAATTGCAGAACAATCTTTTGAATCCTCTTCAGAAGCTTTAGGAAATCTTTTTGAGACTCAGCCTGGTCCCTTCCCCACCCCACCCCCACTTAAAGTTTGCTTTTCTATAAATTCCATTACCTCTGTGCCTGACAGTAGCTCGCTCTAGCCACCATCTCCACCTGCTTCATGAGGGACAAGGGAGATAAAAAGCTCTGTTTTGTATTTTCACTGCTGTCTTGGAACTACAGGAGCCTGAATTTTGGACTCACAAAAAAATAAATAACATGAGCACAAATGATACACTGAAGATTGTCAACTTCAGAAAATATAAGTGGCTTTTTGAGCTTTTTAAAATTTTTTTGCTGCTGCATGCACAACTCCCCTGCAGCCCTAAGGCACCTCCCTAACCACTCCGCTGTTCTAGGAAAAGTGTAAGCTGACAAGGCAATTGTTCTGTCTTCCTTAACAAGGACAGGGGAAGAAGTGTCTTGGCACTGCATTAAACCTCGAGCTTTGGTTTCCTATCAAGCAGAAGGATGTTTTGCTTTTTCCTTCCAAGTCCCCTTCACCACAGATTTTGCACTTTCTGCCCCATGCATTGCTCCCTCCATGTAAGTATCAAGACCACCCAGGGCTCCCACCCATGACAGAGAAGGGATACGCCTATGGGTGCTCCTGGCCCAGACCTTTCTTTTTCACTATTTGAGCTGAAATGGTAACATGGCCCAGGGAGAGCTCCTCTAAGAAAGACCTTTCCCACAGGCCTTTGGAATGAGAACAGGCTTAATCTTGCTGAAAATGACAGGCAGCTGGCCATAGAGTCAATCCCGTTTTCTTCTAATGAAAACCACAATCCAAAATCATCTAGATTTCCCCAGAAGATCCTTTACACCACCCGTCAGGTATTTTTGATTTGTTTGCTTTTTTAGGAAAAAAAAAGAAAACAAAGGCTACTATAAACTAGCCTGTGTACATTCTAAAAAGTACAAGAAATGTAGAAAAGTCTGTCAAAGTAAATCGAAGGCGCCCAGTGACCTTCCCTGTGCATTTTTACCATTCAGGTCATAAATTAGTAGTCCCTTTGTTGTAAAGAAGGCAGGCTCATGGCTCCTGTGATTTTATAAGGCCAAGTTCTCATTAGTTCAGCAGACTGGCCTGCGTATTCTCTCAACCACAGTGAAGCTGGGTGGATGGAGCCCGTGGTTCTATTGCCTGAATCAGGATAGAGTGATTATCATCAGCACACTGGAGTCCAAAAAAGCGACTGCTTCTGCCCATCATGTTCTTTGCAAAAACCCCTGCTGGCTCAGGGATAACCTGGTTTGCTGTGCTTCCTCCCTGCCACCCGCTCCCACTGGCACTGGCTCCTCTCCGTTCCATGTTGTGAGCTCCTTATTTGTCTGCGTGACCGTCTGGTTTGCTGGAGAGAGCAGGCCGCCTCCCCTCTCTGCCTGGCTCTGCCTCGGCCCTCTCCAGGCGCCGGCCTGCATGACGTGCCTCTGGCTGCACCCAGCAGGTCATGAGCACGATGCCACCTCTTTCTCCACCCTGACCAGCCTTTTGCTCTGTAGGTAAAGACAGTTCACACATTACTTCTGAATTTGCCAAAGCTTGGCTGTCTTGGAAACTCATATCACTTTCTCAGACCTTAACGATGACACTCCCTAGTTCTCAGTCCATTGAGTTTGTGACCCTGGCTTCTGATGAGCATTTAAAAAGCAGCACCCAGAGTGAACAGAGATGTCATTTTGGTGTCTGGCACTTTGCTCTGAGGACGTTTTCTCACTCAGGCCACTAAGAAAGTGCCAGCTGTCCGGTGCTCTGGACAGCTAGCTGGGAGTGATTAAAAGCACTGCTGCGGTCTGCCGCAAAGCCAGGCCCTGCAAGTGTCTGCACCAGTTGGGAACATCTGTGTATGAGAGCAGTATTTGAACAAATAACTCAGCCTTCAGCTTTGGTGACCTCATGAGCTGTGGCCAGAATCTCTGTGCGCAGTGTAGAAGAACAGTTCAAGACCCACCTTGACCACCACTCACACTGTGATCTTGGTCATCGCTTGACTCTCTTGGGCCGTGGTTACTTCCTCAGTAAGAAAAGGGTGATCTCAAAGCCAGTGTCACCTCCTGCAAGCCCACGAGTAACATTCCTGCCATCTGCTTATACAGAAAAGCAAGGAGACGTCTGGGTGGTTTGGATTAGCCCACAGTGTGGGGTCGCTTTGAGGCTAGAACTGGCATTTTGGAACCTGAAACAGGGAACACAATTAAACAGCCAGGGGCACTCATGCCAACGCGTTGTAACGAGGAGTCTCCTGTCTTGTGTTTTTACTTCTCATTTCATTATAGGAGACTCAGGTAACCCTCTGCAGTGTTGCTGGACAAATGACCCTGGAAAGGCTGAGGAGAAGAGTTGCAGGCTGGTGTGTGTGTGTGTATGTTTTGGTTGCGCCTGTGGCATTTTCCTTCTCTCTCCATTCCATTTGCTGGCCAGCAAACTTGTGTTCCGTCCCTTTCATGCCTCTCTGTCCTGCCTCAGGTAAGGTTTGTATCGTTGCTTCCGAGGGTCCCAGGAGACACCACTGTGGGATAGCTCACACACCTCAGCACATACACTCTGAATTCACCTCACTGTTATTGAGAAGAGAATCTGATAAAATACATGGTCTAAAAAGCCAAACTTCACTTGAACTCTGCACTCGCTGACAGGGAACTTCACTTGAGTAAGCTGCATATTTAGCATAGAAACTGGGTTAGCTGACCTCCTTGGAGGCATTGGCAAAGAAAAAATTCAAACGGTCCTATTCATTCATGTTACTGCACTTGCCAGAAGTCGCTGTCTGGAATAGCTCCAAAGCCTGACAGTGATGGCATGGCTCTTGATTTAGAAGGAAAACTTTCATGACAAAATCTTTCTTTTTCTCTTTCCTTCCTTACACACTACATCTCCTCATTGCCTTCTCTTTCTTTTGTCTCTTCTTCTCTTCCTACAAATCTTCTGCCCACAAATGCAAAGTCCATCATTTGTCAATTTCAGTGATTACTATGGAAAGAGCCATTCCCAACTTAGTCACTGATCAGGACATAGTAAGTTGACCATTCAGTATTCCTTTGGCTAAATAAACTCAAGCAAACGCGATACTACAACATTCCAAGGACAGACATCAGTGACACAAAGAGATGAACTGCCATTTAAGATGACTTCTGAAGTGGTTTATAAACCTCAGTCTTTCCTTAAAAAAAAAAAAAAAGACATTCTTAGAAATTCTCTAGAAATAGAAAAAGAAATCAAACAAACTGAGTGGTCATGATCTCGAAATTATCCTGCCACTCTGCAGCCTGACATCTACATTTAAAGTTTTTTAATTTTTATTTTTATTAGAGTATAGTTGATTTAAAATGTTGTGTTAATTTCAGGTGTATAGCAAAGTGATTCAGTTATATATATTCTTTTTCAGATTCTTTTCCCATATTGGTTATTATGGAATATTGAGTAGAGTTCCCTGTGCCAGACAGTAGGTCTTCGTTGGTTGTCTGTCTTAAATATAGCAGGTGTACATGTCAATTTCTCCTTTTATGGCTGTTAGCATTTGCCTTATATATTGAGTTGCTCATGCATTTGGTGTGTATATATTTACAACTGTTACATCTTCTTCTTGAACTGATCCCTTGATCATTATGTATTGTCCTTCTTTCTCTCATAACAGTCTGTTTTGTCTGTGAGTGTGCTGCTCCAGTTTTCTTCTGATTTTCATTTGCATAGAATACCTTTTTCCATCCCCTCACTTTCAGTCTGTATGTGTCCTCGAGCTGAAGTAGGTCTGTTGTAGACAGTATTTATACATGTTTTGCTTTTGTATTCATTCAGCCAGCAGTCTATGTCTCTGGGTTGGAGCATTTAATTCATTCACATTTAAAATTATTATTGATATGTATGCTTTTATTGCCATCTTGTTAATTGCTTTGGATTTATTTTTGTAAGTTTTCTTCCCTTTTTTCTCTTGTGATTAGATTACTATCTTTAGTATTGTATTTGGATTACTTTGTCTTTTTTGTGCATTAATCTATTGTAGATTTTTGGTTTGCAGTTGATACCGGGTTTTGATAAAGCAGTCTCTCTCTCTCTCTGTCTCTCTCTCTCTATATATATATATATACATACACAAGATTGGTTTAAGTTGCTAGTCTCTTAATTTCAAATGCATTTCCAATATCCTGTATTTGTACTCTCCTTACAATTGCTGGTTTTGTTATATTATTTGTGTGTGGATCATTCGTTTACTGTATGTTTTGCCTTTACTGGCCAGCTTTTCCATTTGTGATTTTCTTGTTTCTTGTACTGGCCTTTTCTTTTCTGCCCGGAGAAGTTCCTTTAGCACTTGTTGTAACATGGGTTTGGTGGTGGTGAATTTTCTCAACTTTCGCTTGTCTATAAAACTTCTGATTTCTCTGTTGAATCTGAGCCTTGCTGGGTAGAGTGAGTATTCTTCGTTGTAGATTTTGCCTTTTATCACTGTAAATAATCCTGCCAGTTCCTTCTAGATTTCAGTTTCTGCTGAAAGATCAGCTGATAACCTTATGGGGATTCCCTTGTATTTATTGCTTTTCCCTTTTTGCTTTTAATATTATCTCTTTGTCTTTTTGTCAATTGGATTAATATGTGTCTATTCCTTCTTGGGTTTATCATGTATGGGACTCTCTGCATGTCCTGGACTTTGAGTGTTTCCTTTTTCATATTAGGGAAATTTTTGGCTATTTTCTCTTCAAATATTTTCTCAGGCCCTCTCTCTCTCTCTTCTCCTTCTGGGACCCCTATAATGTGAAAAGCGTTTGTCAGACAATCATGTCTGACTCTTTGCAACCCTATGGACTATAGCCTGCCAGGCTTCTCTGTCCATGGAATTCTCTAGATGAGAATACTGGATTGGGGAGCCATTCCCTTCTCTAGGGACTTTTTCTGAATCAGGGATCAAACCTGGGTCTCCTGCACTGAGGGCAGATTCTTCACCATCTGAGCCACCAGGGAAGCCTGGTAATGTGAAGGCTGGTGTGTGTGATAAATGGCAGCCCACTCCAGTATTCTTGTTTGGAGAATTCCATGGACAGAGGAACCTGGGGGGCTACTGTCCTCGTTTCTTTTCATTCTTCTTTCTTAGGTTCCATGGCAGTGATGTCTACCATTCTGTCTTCCAGCTTCCTTATGCATTCCTCCTCATTTCCTCTGCTGTTGATTCCTTCTAGTGAATTTTTCATTTCACTTATTGTTCATCTCTGTTTGTTGTTTAAAGCTTCTAGGTCTTTATCAAACATTTTTTGTATCCTGTCTGACTGTACCTCCATTCTTTTTCCGAGATCTTGGATCATCTTTCCTATTCCTACTTTGAATTCTTTTTCAGGTAGACTGCCTATCTCCACTTCACTTAGTTGTTCAGGTGTTTTATCTTGTTCCTTTGTTTGGAAGATATTTCTCTGCATATTTGTCTGTCTTTGTGGTCATCTCCATTCCTCCATCTGAGCCACCAGGGAAGCCCATATTCTTCCAGATGCAAGATTGCAATTCTTCTTGGTCCTGGTGTCTGTCCCCTGGTGGGTGAGGTTGGTCCAGATTCAGGCTTCCCTGGTGGGAGGGACTGGTGCCTGCCCACTGGTGGGTGGAGTTGGGTTTTGTCCCTCTGGTGGGCAGAACCGTGTTAAGGGGTATATTTTTAGCTCACTACCTGCTGGTGGGAGGGGCTGTGTTTCCACTCTGTTGGTTGGTTGGCCTGAGCATGCAGGTTGCTGACTGGGCCCAGGTCTCAGTGCCAAAATGGTGACCTCCAGGAGAGCTCATTCCCATGGGTATTCCCTGGGATGTCCACCACCGGTGTCCTTACCCCACAATGAGCTACTGCCAACCATGCCTCCCCAGGAGACCCTCCAAGACCTGTAGGTAGGTGCTTTGCCCTGGGCCCCAATGCACATTAAACCATGGTGTCCTCCCAGAGTGGAATCTCAGTGTCCCCTAGCACTATGGAACTGCTGTACTGAACGCCACTGGCCTTCCAAGCCAAATGCTCTGAAGGCTCCTCCTCCCAATACCAGACCCCCAAGCTGGGGAGTCTGATGTGAAGCTCACTCCTCTTACTCCTGTGCGAGAACCTCTGCAACATAATTATTTTCTAGTATGCAGTTCACACACCCAGGAGGTCTGAAATTTGATTATATTTTGAAAGAGTCCCTTCTACTGTCTCTTGTGGCTTCTTCTTTGTCTTTGGGTATAGAATATCTTTTTGGTGGGGGGTGGATAGGATTGAGTCTTTTTTGTTGATGGTTGTTCAGCAGTTAGTTGTGATTCTGGTGTTTTCATTGAGAGGAGATGAGCTCAAGTCCTTCTACTCTGCCATCTTGTCTCAGCCTCTCCTGATGTCTCTCAACAGGATGATTTTGTACTTGTATTTAAGATGGATTCATTATGCCTATTTCCTCTTTTAATGAACTCTCTTCTTCATTGCACTGAGCCTAATTGCATATTTTAGTGGAGTTAGGATTAATGTCATTAAGCCACCCTATCCTTTGTGGATTTCTGTTCAGTTATGAATCTTCCTAAATGAAATTGTTTGTGGAACAAACACTTCTTGTATGAAAATATATCTCCTTATGCCATTTCCCTTCATACCACCTTCTTTAAAAAGTTGGCAAAATACCTCCATATTGGAAAAGATGGGACTAAAGCAAAAAATCCAGAGGGAAGCTACTGCAGTCCTGCTTTGCAAACGTGTTGCATCAGGTATACACTTACATAGGTAGCATCTTCTAAGATATGTAGCATTATCTGCAGCAGCCTCAAATTAGTAATATACACAAACCCATAATTTGATGTATTTTTAGTTGGTATCACTTTCTTCCCCCACCTCTTTTGTGGCAGAGTCATACTCTCTATCCTTGTAGAAAACATCTCATTAAACTGCTTTTCGAGAGTTAAGCCCATCCAAATCTATATCTAGCCAGTATTTTACTGCCTTGTAATCACCAGAGGGGTATTTAGAGTTCTGAAAAAATGAAACACGCCAAATTTTGATCAGGCTTGAGGGTGTGTTCTGTCCTCCTACTCAAAGCTTTGAGGAAATCTCTAATGTTTCTAAAGCCTAGAACGATGTTATATGATACAATCACAAATATTTTTAAATAGATGTTAAAAAAAAGTACAGTGCATTGCTTCCATTTTTAAGGCTGGAAGGCACGTGAGATTCTATAGACAAATTTGTGGAGACTTGACCAACACCTGCCACATGTTTCAAAGATGAGTTTTCAAGGAACACAGCATTTACCACAACTAGGACAAACTAAAAAGGATCAAATAGAACCTCTCTCTTAGTCATTAAAGGAAAGAGTGTTAGATAGATTGGCTTTTTTATTATATAAATTAGAAGCCCTTAAGTAAAAAAGTGTTGCCTCACCATCCTTTAAGTTGAATATTTATAACCCACTTATACGACTATGTATAATACATATAATCATCCATAATACATGGGTGCTCTATATATGCAAATATATTCACACTATGTATTGTATCTTAACCACTGCAAGATAATTATATGTGTATATACTTATGGAAGTATATAGTCTTTATAATAGTCACTTAAAGATATATCTAATACACCCACATACATACACTTGCCAAGGCTTCCAGATATATCCTTTAGGTTAATTATTATCGTGTTAAGAGTTTCAGTTGGTTACAAATGTCTTTTTGTTTGTCCCCCAGGATACTATGGGGACGGCCTAAATGCCATCATTGTGTTTGCTGCCTGTTTTCTGCCAGACAGCAGTCGGGCGGACTACCACTATGTCATGGAAAATCTTTTCCTGTGAGTGATGCTTACAGTAAAATGGTTTGCGTTAATGTCTGTGGGGATGCAATGGCAGATAGAACATCTTTAATAAAAGGAAACAGATGATGTAGAATATTCTAAGCCTTTGACTAAAAGTCAATAAAATCTGTATCAAGGAAAATTGCTCAAGAGACTAAAAGCTTCAGAGGAGCTGTTTTGTCAGTAGAATGCACTGAAAACAAATGAACACAGTTTGGCCTGTATTTTAAAATTCTGTAACATTTTTTTTGGGTGAAGTGTTATTTTGGTTCCCTGATAACATGTTCTTAGTCAACTGATAATAACCTGACTTCATTTATATCTGCCTTTATTTAATCTGACTTGCCCTTTAGTATATGATAACACTGTTGATATTTTTGAAAGTTGGGTTTCTAACCCACAGATTTTTCAAGTGTACCTGCATTAAAAAAAAAAAAAAAAGGAAAGATAACTGTGCAAATAAATGAGTAATACTCTCAGAGAAGTGATCTTAGGTAACTTAGGCATTCTTCTCAAGATGAAGAGGTAATATGTGCAACCAGTCTTAAATGTTATGCACCCTATCATTTAAATATTATATAATTATGATGAAATAAGATGAACTCTATCATGTGGAATCTGAAAACACTTCTCTTCCTTCCTGTGATCAGATATGTAATAAGTACTTTAGAGTTGATGGTAGCTGAAGACTATATGATTGTGTACTTGAATGGTGCAACCCCAAGACGGAAGATGCCAGGGCTAGGCTGGATGAAGAAATGTTACCAGATGATTGACAGACGGTATGTGGGGCTCCATTAGCTAATCACTATTTTGACTTCCTCAATAACTCCCATCTCCAGTGACCTTTTAATTTACAAAAAATGCAGTCACAATTTAGGAACATTGAATTAATGCTGATTTGAGATAATAAATTTTAAAATATTAATCAAAGTATCACTCAAATTTTAAATAAAGCAAATCTTCCCCAGATTTTGTTAAATGTTACTAATCTCAAACTTGGCAACAAGCATTTTAAAGTATACTTACGCGATTGCCATATAGAGGTGCAATTTGAGCTGATAAATCAAAGTCCATGATTCTTCACTGGTATCATGTGACCTTGCTGCCCTTTTTGTAAACTGGGACTATTGTGACTTAGGCAATCCCTGTGCCCTTATTTCAACATTCACTGTTAATTCCAGCTCATTTGGTGCCGTGTGTGCCCCTTCCTCAAGATACATCACTTCTATTCATACTGGTTTTATTAGAACCAAACACATTGTTGCCATCTACAGGAAAACTGTCATAATAAGCATACAAATTGATGATGTCTTCTATAGTGTGGCTTCCTCTCAGATGTGGCTCCCTGCAAAGCAACATGCGAGTGCCCTGATATAGTAACTAAAATCCATTAATCATCCAAACATACATACAGTAGCATTGCTAAATCTGAAAAATATGTCAGGATATCCAAAATGTTAATCTGAAGGCCAAATAACCACATGCTTTCATTATACAGAGGAAGAGACCCAGGCTCAGTAGAACAGGGTATTCATTTCAAAATACTAAAAATAATGCTGACAAAAATGAATAGCATTGTCAAACAAAAATATGCCATGACAATTATAGATTTATGCACTCCAAGAGTATGGAGTGCATAAAATTCTATTTTACATTTATTTCTGTGGGAAAATGAGGTTTGAATTATGCAAGCTTCAAATTATATCTCAAAGGCATTCTTTGTATTAATCATTGCATACCTGCCTAACTTACATAAGAACTCCATATATATATATACACACATACTTTAATTCCCATTCAAAATAGGTTATGAGTAATTTTTTTCTTTTTCAAAATAGGTTGAGGAAGAATTTAAAATCATTCATCATTGTTCATCCATCTTGGTTCATCAGAACAATCCTTGCCGTTACACGACCTTTTATAAGGTATAGTCATTATTACAGTAAAAGTACTAGTTTTTTAAAGTATGTAATTCATTGTTCCTCTATACAAAAATTCATAAACCAAGAGAGTATTTAGGATAATATGTTTTGCCTCTGTCTTTCCTGAAAATATACTTTGGACTGCCCAGCAAGAGACTCTAAGAGTGAGTATATTTTCATAGTGATTATTTTTCCCCTATAATTATAAAACATGACTGCTATATTGCTTGCTATAAACACAGAAAATGAAACAGTGAGGTTTCCATGCCATATGACAAAAGGGAATAGATAGTACTATTAAAGAAATAAGGGCTTCCCTGATAGCTCAGTTGGTGAAGAATCTACCTGCAATGCAGGAGACCTGGGTTCAATCCCTGAGTTGGGAAGATCCCCTGAAGAAGGGAACAGCTAGCTACCCACTGCAATATTCTGGCCTGGAGAATTCCATGGACTGTATAGTCCATGGGGTCTCAACAAGTCAGACACAACTCAGCGACTTTCACAGACATTAAAGAAATATGGTATTTTGTAAAGAATCAAAGAGGTGGAGTAACATGACAATGGAAAGTAAAGACACATCAAGGACAGAAACATAAAGCAGACCTTAATTGTTTTGTTTCTTCTGAACAAATACCATGTAGGTCACCTAAAGTGGGTTAAGAGTCTGTGCAGTCATTTTGAGAGCTTTGTTTTGATCATCCATGAGGCTTCTTGGTTTAAATTCACTTCAAATCAATAAATATTTGTTCATCATCTATTTTGTGTTAGATGCTATATAACCTTACATTTTGGGGATGAAAAGAAAAGTAATATATGCCTCTTACATAGTAAAACTGAGACAGTTAAATGAAAGGGACAATATAGATTTTCTAGAAAGCTTTAAAAAATAGAAGAGGGAGGGCCAAGATAGGGGTATGGGATTAAGAGGTACAAACTACTAGGTAAAAAAATAAATAAGCTACAAAGATACAGTGTACAGCACAGAGAAAATAGACACCATTTTATAATAACTTCAATGGAGTATAGTCTATAAAAATAATGAATCACTAAGTTATAGGCCTGAAACTAATATAATATTGAGAATCAACTATATATCAGCTAACTAGAACTTGCCTAACATCAGGGTACAAATTATATCAACTGAAATTTTTCTGTCTCAGTGTTATTAATGAATCTGTAAGAAAAATTTTGATCACTTGACTTCTGGAGAAAAGATTAAAGGTTAAAATCTTTTATATTCTTTTATTACTATATATATATATGATTTTATTGAAACATAGTTGGCTTACTGTGTTTCAGGTGCCCAGCAAGATGATTCAGTTATACACATACACAATTACTTTTTAAATTATTTTCCATTATAGGTTATTACAAAATATGGACTATAGTTCCCTGTGCTATACAGTAAACCTTTGTTGTTTTTTTCATATCTATTTTTTTTTTTAATTAGAAATTGAGCGCTCTGTGCCATCCAGAATCTTCTTTTTTTGTTCTGTGTTCACTTATGTTTATTTAGTATTCCCATCCGCTACGTCCAACAACTGGGTAGCAGGATTCGACTACTTTTCCTCTGGCAGGAGAGCTCTTTAAATTACTTTAAAGCATAACACAAGCTTTTAAGATATACAAAAAGAAAGCTACTAATTTTAAGATTAGCAGAAAATGCTTTGACAGAGAGCAGGAATAAATTACAATGAAGAACTTATACAAACTTTTAATGAGTAAAAAAGCAAACATTAGAATTGATATTGAGTCACTGATGCTTGTTTAATAATTCAGCTCTATTTTAAAATAAATATATTTCTCCTTGGTAAATATTTATTATGGCAAGAATATGAAAAAGAATTATAATTCAACATTTATTGAAGGGAGTTTCAAGATAATAATAATTCCCTTCTCTGGGGATCTTCCCAACCCAGGGATCAAACCCAGGTCTCCCACTTCACAGGTGGATTCTTTACCAGCTGAGCCACAAGGGAAGCCCCAATAATTATGACAAAAATAATTAAATTATAGCAAGTAGTGTTGTGGTAAATTACATATAATAATGGTTTACATTTATTGAGTATTTACATGCATTATTTTATTTAATCCTAATGATGATGCTCTGAAGGAGGCACTGCTTACTATTTCTGTATTGTAGGAAAAAAACCCTAAGGTTCAATGAGGTCAAATAAATTGTTCAAACCAGGAGCCAGCAAACCATTCTGTAAAGAATCAGATATTAAGTATTTTAAGTGTTATGGGCCATAGAGTTTCAGTCACCACTACTTAGCTGTGCCATGGTAGGACAAAAGCCATAGATAATATGTAAATAAATGAGTGTCCCTGTGTTCCAGTAAAACTTGATTTACGAACACCGAAGTTCAGTTTTCTGAAGTGTTTTACATGTCATGAAATAGTCTTATTTTGATCATTTTTCAACCATTTAAAAAAATGCAAAACCAGTCTTGGCACAAAGATGTAAATAACCAGTAACAAGTTGGTTATGGCCCACAGGCCATAGTTTACCAACCCCAGGTCTACAGTAACATAGCCAAGAAATGATAAACTCCGGCTCTGAACCCAGTGTCTACCTAATTCTAAAGAACACATATTTCAAGTACTTAAACATTATATTCTACAGTTTCATCATATAAAACCCTCTTTAAAGATCCCTCTGTGAATCAATCTACATCAGCATAACAAATTTTTTCACCTGAAAAAAGAGGTCACTAAAATGTATTATAGGTCTTTTCACTGCTAAAGGGTAACACCTATGATAGAGGTATATAGCAAATGCTTTTTTTTTAACTCATGTGTTTTTAAACTGAAGTATAATTAATTTACAAGGTTGTGTTAATTTCTGGTGTACAGCAAGGTGATGCAGTTTCTCATATTCAGATACATATTTGTAACTAAATAAGAAAAATAATTTTTTCCAGTTATATATTCTTTTTCGTATTTTTTCCATTATGGTTTATTGCAGGACACTGACTATAGTTCCTGTGCTGCAGAGTAGGACCTTGTCCTTTATCTGTTTATTTTAATAGAGTAGCTACTATCTGCTAATCCCATCCTTCTAATTCATCCCTCCCTCCTCAAGTTCATTTTTTTAAATCAATTGTCTGTCTGTGTCAAGCACTGGGTTAGGTGCTGCAAGTTGAGAAATTAAATAGCTCAATTGCTTTCCTCAAAGAGGTCACAGCCTGGCAGCTGACACAGGGCGACAAGAAAGCAGCTACAATAAGGGTACAAAGAAGGCTAGTGAGGGTGATAACTCAGAGTGGGGGTGAGTTTTAAGGTAACCGGTGAAGCGTGAAGACAGAGAATCTGCATCAAGAGAGGCTTTCTCGAAGAATGCATCCTCAAGGTGAGTTTTGAAGAATAGGATTGGCTAGCTAAAGCCAGGTAGAGGAAATAGCAAGTACCAATACGCCAAGAAGAAAAAATTGTCTTTTTCATATTCAGTTACAAATGCGTATCTGAATATGAGAAACTGAATCGTTTTACTGTTTAGAGAACTGTACATTTCAGTGTGGAGGTGTCCTCCTGGCCTGACTTCTTCTGCCTTCTTATTCTATGCCCTCCATTTTTTAAATTAAAATCTGAATTTAGCTCAAAAACTCCAGAGGAAGGAAGTGGCCTAATGTGGCATGTCGTTAGTAGTGTGTGTTCACCCAAGGCTTTTGAGGACTTGAAGTGACTGTTCAAAAATGAAGGTTGTTCGCAAGCCACACCCAGTTGCCCATAGTCAAAACTGCAAGTAAAAGGTGAAAGCTGGATGTATGCTGAAGTGACCTTGACAGCATCTTTCCATTAGAGACCATTCAAGGGAGATGGACGCCTGATCAAGTTCCCTTTCAAGTGGAATGATATANTTGCCCATAGTCAAAACTGCAAGTAAAAGGTGAAAGCTGGATGTATGCTGAAGTGACCTTGACAGCATCTTTCCATTAGAGACCATTCAAGGGAGGTGGACGCCTGATCAAGTTCCCTTTCAAGTGGAATGATATATTTTTAGAATTAGTTTGCTGTTACACTGGTAATACAAAAATGTCACCTTCTTATAAAACAGCCAATCATTATAGATAAGTGGCACCGTCTGCCACTGACTGAAGGTGAAATCTGGGCAAACACTTAATTCCCTATGTCTAAATTTCCTTGCCTTTAAAAAGAGATAGCACCTACCTCATTAGGTACTACTTTAATAGTACCTAATAGTACCTCATTAGGCTAGCACAAAAAATGAGTTATTATGTGTGTGTGTGAGTTGCTCAGTTGTGTATGAGTTGCTCAGTTGTGTATGACTCTTTGTGGCCCCATGGACTGTAACCTGCCGGGCTCCTCTGTCCATGTGATTCTCCAGGCAAGAATACTGGGGTGGGTAGCCATTCCCTTCTCCAGGGGATCTTCCCAATTCAGTGAACTAACCAGGGTTTCCTGAATTGCAGGCAGATTCTTTACCATCTGAACCACCAGAAAAGTCCCAAAAGTTAATATGTATTAACCAATTAGAACAGAGTCTGGCACATAGTAACTACTCAAATAATATAGCTATTCTTCTAAGTAAGAGTGCTGGGGGCAAGGTGATAAGGATTTTCAAGAAGAGGCAGAAGTCTGAGGGATGGAAGAGTGACTGAAATCTTTTTTCTTTTCTTTTTTTTCAAGTTCCAAATTCAGCAGTAAAATTAAATATGTCAGTAGTTTATCAGAACTCAGTGGACTGATCCCAATGGATTGCATCCATATTCCAGAGAGCATCATCAAGTAAGTCCTGATGGTTCTGAAGATTTGGTAAGAAATACTGCATGTCTGGAGAAGGAGATGAGAAAATAACTCACTCCTGGAATATGGGGAAATGGCTTATCTTTTGTTTTACATTTAAAACAAATAATAAATATTCTCCAATAAATATATTTCTTTTCTTATAACCTAGAGATAACTGTTCTGTTCTTGCAGATCTACTTTCACATGATCTTCTATGGTGGTGTTGAGATTTACTCACTTTCACCTTGAATTTACAACCATTTTGGGGAAAGCATAAATTTAACACTGATCAGTGTATTTGTTACCTCTGTCTTGCATGCCACACAAAAGGTAGATTTTGTACATAGCCTGGATTTCTACATTGCCTTATATAAAATAATTTATCTGCTTGACCCAGGGAAAAGAGAAAAAAGTTACCCCTTTCTCTGATTTCTTCTAAGTCCTTTTTCTTCATGGTTGCCTCCAGGTGAAAGGTAAAGCAGAGCGGTGGGTGGTGGAGTCGGGAATGACTTCCTTACTCAGTACCTGGTAAAGCCTGTAGGTAGAAAGCATGGATACTTAAAGTTGTAGCATTATGCTGCAAAAATAGTAAAAATAAAAAGTCAACTGCTTGGAGCTGGGGCTTAAAAATGTGATGCTGGAAAATGAACCCTCCTTACTGGTTAATTGTTGCAAAGAACTATCGTTTACTGTCGATCATGTTTTTCTTTCACTATGTCTAATTTACTGGCTTTCTGTGTGATTAGAAGTGGGAGGAAGGTAACCATCAGTTCAGAGAAAGCAGTCAAGGATACCCTATCTTCCTCCATAAGATGGAGAGCAGAATGGACCTCCCAATTTGGGCTTCCAAAAAAGAGTCCCCTCACTTAAAAAAGGCAGAATTGGAAGGAAAAGATCCCCATTTAATGTGTGTCTCCTGTTCTGGGTACAAGTGCTCTATTTATATCCTTTATTTAATCCTTACAGTAAACGCCCTGTTTATACATAAGAAATGTCACTTAGGAACGGGATGTTTACTTATGCAAAGTAGAAGCAGGAACAAGGAAGAGATGGAACTAGAATTTAAATCCAGCTGAGCCTGGAACCAAAAATTCCCATGCAGATTTCTTCACCTCCTATAAAATACCCATCTAAATAATGGGTATATTTAGATAAATATAAGGAGTATATTTAGATAAATAAAATACCCATCTAAATAAATACCCATACCCTTCTGAGTCAAAGCTCAGAAGTAGCTACAGTTTGGTTTTCCTGCATCCCAATATCAGATATGAACAGAAGATACAGATTGGGTTGAGAACTGCCAGTTGGCTTAGCTGAATCAAGCTGAGCATGCATAAGCTCCTAATGGTGGATGTAATCCTCACTAGCTTCACAGAGTCCCTAAACTAACACAACTGACAGCTCTGGCCTGCTGCCTCAAAAAGAAGGCACCCCATCTCCAAAAACAGTACTAGAGCACCCACCTCCTATTATGCAAAGATGACAAGGATATTCCATCTTCAAGTGGAAATGAGCACTGGCCACTTTCTAAGTGAGTATGCTCCCCCACCCAGCGTGGCGCTGGGAACAAGAGAAGAGAATGTGCTTTGGAGGACCAGCATTAGATTTGAAACTTCTCCCCACCTTGCCTCTCTGACACTTCAGGAATCCTATTTAGAACTCTCCGAGTCTCAGCCTCAGCATCTGTAAAATGAGAAAACAAGGAGCAATTAATTCATGGCAAGGTCTTGAGAACAGAATGAGAACCATGAACATAAAGCACTGAGGCGCCACCTGGCACAAAGATGACAATCCAGAATGTTATTTATTGTAATTGTGTTGCTTTTAGAGACTCACTGTTCACACAGGGAAGTTGGGTTGTGAAGTTACACTTGCTCTAGGTGCTTTTCATTCATCTACAAGTCAGCTTTTCTATTTGGGAACAGTTCCTTCCAAAGGAAGGTTCTATTTGGAAAGATTTTCTTCTGGAGGAAGAAACTTACAACCGTGCATACCCTCCCCATGTGTCCTGTCTTTCATAATTCATCTCCTCTTGCTGTCCTTTCTCATTTCTGTAACTGACCCTTGTTGCCTCATTTTCATATTATGCCATGTTCAAACTGGTAACAAACCATAACTCTTTCCCATTACACAAGAGCAGGATCTCATCCAATCCCAAGGCCAATATTCAGCTGGGATAGAGTGCATCAAAGTGCTTAAAGGAAAGAAAATTGAACCCAATCTGAAATCAGATTTATAATCACTGACTACAGTCAGTTCTTGTTATTTGTGGCAGTGATGTTCCTACAGATCTGAATAACATACTGAACCATTGTTTCCAGGGGGAAAGCGGGGCTAAGTTTCTGTGAGTACTTGGTCGCAGCATTCTCATTTGCCAGTTAACATACAGCCTTGTTTTAGGTCCATTTCTGTTTCAAGATACCTTACTTGATCTGTATTGTTGATTCACTAACATTGAACTCAGGGCCAACAACACTGTAACTTGTTGCCTGAACAAAGCTTATCTAACACACACATACCTCACTAAGGCCCATCGCAGCCATCCTGTGCTCAGGAATACTAGATGATACTTAAGCATGTTTGGGGAACATTCTTAAATAAAGAGATCACCAGCAAAAAAGCACAAAAATAAGAAAAACATGGCATGCCAGACTGTAAAAGGCCATTTGTTTGCAGCCTGAGAGCTGAGATGAGAAGGCAGAGCCCCGCTGGGGTCCCCCTCAGCTGGGAACCCACACATCGGGTGACTGAAATGTCTGGGCACTCTGTTAAAGTCCACAAGTGACCGTGAAAGTGCCAAAGTATTGCTTAGGAGGTTGCAGCTATGGTTTAGCAAGTAGGTGAATTTGTGAACGTGCAATCTGCAAATCCTGAGGATCGGCTGTATATAACTATAAATTCGAAATAATCGTATCGCATATAAATAGGATTCGTCCCCAAAGGCAATCTGAGTATGATTTGGGTAGGCTTCTCCTCTCACATGTTGACAGTCCTGTCATTTTTTCCATCTGTCCACTCGTTTTCCTCACTGCATTCGTTTTTTTTATCCTGTAAGGTACGATGAAGAGAGATCTTATAAGAGAAGTGTGAGGTAATCATCTGCTGATCTACAGTTCACGCTGGGTCCTGTGTGTGCGTGTACACCAATGTCTTACTTGTGGGTGACCTCAACAGGCTACCAGAGGAAGAGGTCCTGCTATCAGTCCCTTGTAGTATATCATTTCCAGTCTTTGTCGTGTGTCTAAAGCCGTTGAGGTCAACCTAATTTGCAACTGAAACCTACTAAACCAGATACATCCCAGACTTGGCCCAGGCTGCAAGCTAATTTTAACTAGCCCTGACAACTGCTGTGGCTGTTTTCAGCTTTATTTCAGCCAGCATGCTTCCAGTCTCCTTGCAAGTTTTGTTATCTCCCTTTATGAAGGACTTTGCAAAGGAAACGTACATAAACACAGACTTGGGAGTTCCTAGAACACCAGATGTAATTGAAGGCATGTGTCTTAGCGCTCCAAAGGTTGGTTTTTAAAAGCACATTCGCTCCACTTTGGTTTGCCTCTGCTTTGACTTTTTTGTGACTCTCTCACGCTCTGCTTGCTTCTTGTTTCTTTTCTACACTGATAATTTTTGCTCATGCAGACTGGATGAAGATCTGAGGGAAGCATCTGAAGCAGCTAAGTAAGACTTGGTTTCCATTCAGCAGTTGGCAGTGATGTTGGCTTGCATTTCAGGAATGAGTTGGGAGAACCTGCATGCCTGGTGTTTTATTCTTGCATCCTGATAATAGTGCTGCCTTTTCAACGTTTCCTTTGTTCCATGAGAGATGTGATTTCTCTTATTTGTACTACAGTCTGTTTATGCCCCTAATGATCGTGGTTACCTTGTTACGTTAAACATTTTTAAAAAATATATATGCAATTTTAGGCACCACAGCAAAAGAAACACATCAGAGGCAGTGCCATGAATAGTGTAACAGCCAGATGATCACTTGCATACAGTGAGGCAATAAAACCTCACTAACTCATATACAAATGCAGAAAAATGGTAGCAACTTGAAATACTTCTGTAGAACCAAATTCCTGAATTTCCAAGTTTTTTTTAAAAAACTCTTTATTCAGTGACTGGGAAATATATCTTAACTAACAGCTTTTGACTTATTTGCATGAGTACAAAAAATATTGCTCACTATTATTATAGTTTTCAAAAAGCAAATCATAACTTTAATGCAAATATAAAATGAATACATGCCAATGATTTTATTCAACTAATTATTTAATCAAGGAACCAGTAAGCTGTTAAAACCAGTTGAAAGAGTATTTGAAAAGCTAGTTATCTATAAGCAATTTATAAAGGAACATTAGGATAAAAATGTTGGTTTACATACAAAACTGATTAATGTTCAACAGGGCAATAAACTATACCTCAGGGTGGTCTTTTCCACTGGACAGAAACTATTGCATCTCTGCTCAGTAAAAATCAAGTTAATATCTGCCTCTTACAGAGCTGTAAGATCAATAGGAAGTCAACTCAACAGTGCTTCTAAAGAACATCCAGTAATTTTATTTCCAGTTCACAAATAATTTTTCTGACACTGTTAAATATAAACAAGAATATTCGCTGCATCAAGCTTCTCCATTGCAAAAGTTGCTTACACTGTTAATTTTTATAACTTGTTCCTATTTTAATAGATATTGCAAAAGCAGAAATCCTGGACAATGTCTAAACAGCTACAAATTCTGAATAAGTAAGATCTAAGTTAGTGAAGTTTTTCCTAGATAGGTATAAATGCCAGTTCGTCATGAAAACATTAAAATATTTTCCCCTATATTTTTGGAGCAGGAAATCTGTAGAATTGTTTGCCTATAGCATGGATCTTTTGGGTTAAAAATTCAAGGAGAGGTTTTTGCTTTAGAAAGCTTAGCATTAGTGTAGGTTACTGTTAAATGTGCCTACACTGTATACTGGTACAGTGCACCCTGTTAGCATTTATCTGTGCTTAAACTGCACTGTCATGAGATTCCCCACAGAGAGAGTGAGCAATTAGTTTCCCTTTCAAATTTTCTTCTTCTTTTTTTTTTTAGGATAACAGATTTATTTAATTAAGAAGCTGTTTTCAAGACAAAAATATAGGGAGGGAACGTCAATAATTTTCCAGCCAAACCCACTATGGAGTCTTGACAGTCATGTGCTCTCATTACTACCCTAAAATCTCGCCTCCTTCAATAGATACTTCCCCTCTATATTTCTACTCTTCCTGCTTAACTACCATAAGAGAACATTTATCACTTTTGGCTTAGTTGTGTAGCTTTCTTTTTTCTCTCAAATTCTTCAGTTGTTCACTTATCTACCTCCGCAGACCCTGTCCCCAAAGATCTAAATGATCTTGGCTGGTCCTGAGATGTCTTGATCGCCTTCCTAAAGGAAGCAGCAAGCTCATGCCTAGTACATAGTCGATGCTCAATAAATTTCTGCTTCATCATTTGGTGAATGTGCATAAGACTAAGATCACTGCTGAGGCGCAGTGCTTCTCAAACTTAACTTAGTGCATCAGAATCACCTACAGTGTCCTGGGCCTCACCCCCAAAGTTTCTGATCAGCAGGCCTGAGAATCTGTATTGCTAACAAGTTCACAGTAATACCAATACTGCCAGTCTCAGGACCTTGCTTGGAGAGTCACTGCCTTAAAGCAAATGGCTGAATAAAAATAATCAGATTAGTCCTCAGAAGTCTATGCTCTTGCTTTGAATTCAATGGGTAAGCCATCTGTCCAAATTCTCCATTCATTTTACTTCTTCTGATGGTGACATTATAGCTAGGAGGAACCGAAAATGTGGAAGGAGAAAGAATTTTACTGTTGACCCCACAGATGATCGAAATCCCACAGAATCCTACATTTCCACATGCTAAATATATCTTCTCAACTACCTTTGAGGCTCTGAAGTGGTCCCCCGATCCTTGGACAGACTGTAGATGATATCTTGCAGTTCAGAAAACATAATCACTGCAGATCTATGGTTACAGGTTCCTTTTATGAACAGATGCCCCCTGACTTTCCACATGACCTTAACTAGAAAGCTTCAGGCTGTTTCTAACAGAAGCAACATATCCCCTGTCAGGGAACAAAGCCTATCTGTTCAGTGTTTGGCTTTAGTCGTATTAGTGTTTTTAAACATTCACCCTCTCCCCGTATACACACATAAGCCACCTTCACCTCTAACTGACTTTATCAGAAGGAGATTCCCTCAGCCAGTCTTACTTTTTCCTTAAACCTTAAGTTCTGAACAGGAAAGAAAATATTTTAAAAAGGATAAATTGTACATAGAGAGTCATTCTTATTTTGCAGATTGTGAGGAATCTATCTGTTGCCTTCGGAGTGACAGTAGTACATGAACCCTAACTTGCTCCTTGCTTTGGAAGGATTATGCAAAGTTAAAAAGCAGAAATGCTAGGTTTGGAAGACTGCCTTCCCTTTCTTGATTCCATTGCAGCTTTACTAGGTTTTTCTAGCACCCTGTCAATGCTTGCCTGACTGTCCCTGTTCACTAGAGTTGCCAAGTATCTTCTATAAAAATACCACCACCAGTGAGAAGGGTAGGGAGTGAGGGGGGAAAGCCTTCTGACTTTCTCAAGGAGCCAGCCTTCTGCCATTTGCAACAAAATACCTAATGTTAATAACCACACCTCTTATGTGCAGACAGAAACCTTTGCTTGGGAATTATCACATTACAGAAGGAGCTGTCACATGTAAGAAGGAGCACTACGCTGTGCTGCGCTTAGTCACTCAGTCTTGTCCAGTTCTTTGCGACCCCATGGACTGTAGCCCGCCAGGCTCCTCTGTCCACGGGGATTCTCCAGGCAAGAACACTGGAGTGCGTTGCCATGCCCTCCTCCAGGGGATCTTCCCAACCCACGGATCAAACTCAGGTCTCCCGCATTGCAGGCGGATTCTTTACCGTCTGAGCCCCCAGGGAAGTGCAGAATCTCTTAAAATAGTGTGTGTTTGCTGAAAATAAAAGTAAAAAGTTGAAGTGTTAAGTATTAATTGGAAATTAATATAAAGCAGATTTGAAATTTGCTAACAGAGGAATCACACAGAATATAAAAGCAGCTTAATATTACACAAACAAGCATAAACATGTTCGTACACAGTAATAAAACTCTCCTTTTATGGTTACATGTTTCTTTCTGGACATGATCAGTTTCAGTTAATGTCAGGACTGGCTTGTTTGACCTGAACACAGCTGAGCTGCGAGGTATTTTTTGTGACAATAAAGGAAAGCCGACACTGGCGTTTTCCCTTTTAGTGTCTTGGGAAATCTTCATTGTTGTGAAAACTGAAAGTTAACTGGGTTCATATATGAATAAAATTAGAGGCATTGTCCTTTGTGCATAAAATATTATGTGGGTTACAAATAAAAATTTGTAATATTCTGTTCACCAAACACGATAGATTTAAAATTCAAAAAAGGATAAATTGTACATAGAGAGTCATTCTTATTTTGCAGATTGTGAGGAATCTATCTGTTGCCTTCGGAGTGACAGTAGTACATGAACCCTAACTTGCTCCTTGCTTTGGAAGGATTATGCAAAGTTAAAAAGCAGAAATGCTAGGTTTGGAAGACTGCCTTCCCTTTCTTGATTCCATTGCAGCTTTACTAGGTTTTTCTAGCACCCTGTCAATGCTTGCCTGACTGTCCCTGTTCACTAGAGTTGCCAAGTATCTTCTATAAAAATACCACCACCAGTGAGAAGGGTAGGGAGTGAGGGGGGAAAGCCTTCTGACTTTCTCAAGGAGCCAGCCTTCTGCCATTTGCAACAAAATACCTAATGTTAATAACCACACCTCTTATGTGCAGACAGAAACCTTTGCTTGGGAATTATCACATTACAGAAGGAGCTGTCACATGTAAGAAGGAGCACTACGCTGTGCTGCGCTTAGTCACTCAGTCTTGTCCAGTTCTTTGCGACCCCATGGACTGTAGCCCGCCAGGCTCCTCTGTCCACGGGGATTCTCCAGGCAAGAACACTGGAGTGCGTTGCCATGCCCTCCTCCAGGGGATCTTCCCAACCCACGGATCAAACTCAGGTCTCCCGCATTGCAGGCGGATTCTTTACCGTCTGAGCCCCCAGGGAAGTGCAGAATCTCTTAAAATAGTGTGTGTTTGCTGAAAATAAAAGTAAAAAGTTGAAGTGTTAAGTATTAATTGGAAATTAATATAAAGCAGATTTGAAATTTGCTAACAGAGGAATCACACAGAATATAAAAGCAGCTTAATATTACACAAACAAGCATAAACATGTTCGTACACAGTAATAAAACTCTCCTTTTATGGTTACATGTTTCTTTCTGGACATGATCAGTTTCAGTTAATGTCAGGACTGGCTTGTTTGACCTGAACACAGCTGAGCTGCGAGGTATTTTTTGTGACAATAAAGGAAAGCCGACACTGGCGTTTTCCCTTTTAGTGTCTTGGGAAATCTTCATTGTTGTGAAAACTGAAAGTTAACTGGGTTCATATATGAATAAAATTAGAGGCATTGTCCTTTGTGCATAAAATATTATGTGGGTTACAAATAAAAATTTGTAATATTCTGTTCACCAAACACGATAGATTTAAAATTCAGGAAGAAAATAACAAGGATGGATGAGACATGGAGGTCTTGGGAGTTTTCAATCTTCCTTTTATGTTTCTGAATCAGGAGCAATTACTGTATTTAAAAACTGATGGTAAAAGAATCAGAGCTTCGCCTCATCGTCTGTTCAGGTATAGATTAGATGTGTTCAGTAGTAGCAATGGGACCACACTAATCAATTTCAGTTCAGTTCTGTCACTCAGTCGTGTCCAACTCTTTGCAACCCCATGGACTGCAGCATGCCAGGCTTCCCTGTCCATCACCAACTCCCGGAACTTGCTCACACTCAAGTCCATTGAGTTGGTGATGCCATCCAACCATCTTATCCTCTGTGTCTAACCAGTTTAAAAAGTTCAAATCAATCTGTCCTGTTTATAAAATGATAACAGTAGAGAGAATGTTTACTGCTTCCTTTTTTTTCCCCTTGCACTCAGAACTAGCTGCCTTTACAATGATCCAGAAATGTCTTCTATGGAGAAGGAGTAAGAATTCACCATCAGTAACAATTATGTGGTTACTCATTGTATTGTATGGCTGGGCTCTGAAAGACAAAAATACATTGAGGATTGGGTAAACACCGTTTAGATGTTCAGCTTTCACGTTCTCTATGCCTGAAATTAGAAACTTAAAGAGAAATGTGTCAGCTTAACACCATCTCATTCATGATCACCATTAGATGTCTTAAGAAAAACCCAAGTCTTTACTTGGTGTTCTGTTTTTCCAGCCCCAAAATGAGGAGAAAATGAATATTAGAGCCAGATGTAAAAGCATTTGGGCAAGAAGAATCCAACTATTTTCTGAATTACATCATCCATATTTTAATTAGTGAAAGTAGGGACTTCCATTTGAAATTGTTATTTTGGTGGGTGGAAGAGAAAACATCCTTATTTAGAAAATTCAAGAGGAAGCTGAGCCCGGATGGAACTTTAGAAATGATCTTGTCCATCTAGTCTCATACTATGAGAAATAAAAATTGAGCATGTGTTTACCATGTGCCAAGTTGTGAGTAAAAAGCTGCACCCACCCTATCTCATTTTTATCCTCAGAATAAGCCAACGCGATACACTGTACAGATAAGGAAGGGGAACCATAGAGAGAGAAGCTGACCAATCCAATGCCGTTCAGCTCGAAGAATGGCCTGGAACTGAGCCTGGAGCCTTTGCAGCGCAGTGCCAGACCCAGTGGTTGTGGTTTTAAAATCAGAGACAGGTGGCCTTGATGCTGGAATGGGTGTTCAACCTGTGATCTAACCAGGGACTACAAAATTTACACCTAAGTCAAAAGAGTTCACTGCTGTCCCGTCAGTTTCAGGGAATAAGCTGGGGTCACCATCAGGTTCTCAGAGAGAACTTGCCCATCCAATCAGGGGCTCTTAATTGGGTGTGAGCTGTGGAGAATTTAACATTGTCCTCCTCCACTGGAATCCAGAAGGAGGGGCAAAGATCCGTATTTAAATAGATCCGCTATTGTCACTTTTTGTTCTCTTGTGACCTCNAGAAAATATTAGTCTCCCTGCTTCCCCTTTCATCAGCCCTCTCTTAAGTTCTTTCTTACCAGGCACATGATCACAGTGTGGAGGATGAGATCTGGGATGAGGGCCACAGTGGCCAAGATTTTTTTTCTGCTGACTTCCCGCCCTGGATTTCTGGCTTTATTTAGTACCAGACTAAGAGGCTTCATTTACCTTCTAGTTTCTGAGTGGAAGCATTTTACACCTTCTATAGCTAGTATTAAATGGATAAGATGAAAAATGGGCAAAGACTCTTTCAAGGAGCTCAATTTGGCCAAGAATAAGATGTACCCTGTGCTGATGCTCTCACGGCCTCTTATTTCCTCAGAGAGAGAAGGGAAGGTTAAGTCTGTCTCCCACTCTTCCTATAGAAAACAGGTTTATCATTAAACAATGTTGTCAGATACTTTGTAAAAAACAAAGAACAAAAAAAAACCCCTCATTTAACACATATTAGGAGCCAAAAATAGCCTACAGAAAATTATCAGAAAGTTACTATGTCTCACTGGAAAATTAGACTATAGAAAGTGAAGCCCATCTGCCCTGTGAGGAATGCTCCTTTCATGTTTGAATTCTGATTAAAAGTAAGATTTTCCCAAAAAGCATACTATTTTGAAAAGTAATCCCAATGTTTGTCTCCTTCACACTCAGGTTTGGATTTTATTTTTTTCATTCATCTCCTAAAACTTGCAACATGACTTTTTATATTCTTACATAAAAAGTGTACATGGTCCAGAAGTGGTTCTATGTGGGGAGACTTAAATTAATAGCATTATCCATAGCTTCATTAGCTCCACAAGACCACTGCTGTCTTGTAATCTTCAGGTGGTTTCCTGCATTTACTTAAAAATCATCCACTTTTGACTATCTTCTTGCTCTTTCCATAAACTCAATTATTAAATTTCAGTCTCTCAGCATCTGTGTACCAAAAACTGAAGGGATAAATTAAACCCTAAAAGGTTTACAAAAAAGTCAGAATGAAAAATGAAGTGTTTCAAAATGGTCTGTTATTTTCAGATTTTTATCAGGTGCCTTGATGGTGAAACAAAGTGACCATGTATACTTTAAACTTTTCAAGATGATTTCAAGTATTTTGACCCAGATTCTACTTTTCAGACAGTAGATTTAATACATATTCTCTTGGTCTATGTAAGAAACTGAGCCACTATCATGTAACTAGCAATAAAATGCCAATCACCAGTCAAACAATATATTATTTCGGGAATAACTGTAGCTGGGAAATACATTTTTAAAGCAAAAACAAGAAGGACTTGTTTTTTGGAAAAGCATATTAGAAAAAGATCGAGGGGTCAGAGTGGATAAAAAGAAGACAGACACCTTCATGGTAAAAACCCTGTTGATAAGGAAACAAGTCAGATCCTTGAGGGCATAAAAAAGAGATTAATATCCATGACAACCTGGCCTCTCCTAACAGTCAGAATGGCTGGGCTTGAAAACTCCCGAAGGACAGAAGATTATTCCAAGTAGAGTAATTCAGCAGTGAGATATGGCTTTTTCATTTCACAGAGACACTGGACGGCTACTATTACTTACTCTACTGCTGAACTGATGTTACTGCTACTTACAATAGACATGTAGTGTATGTTCATTATGTACAATTGAAAACACTTTAGACTAATCCTTAGCAAGCTGTTCTATTTTACAGATATAGAAATGGAGACTTGGAAAAGGCAGGTAGCCTGGTAGAATTGCTGAGGGTATCTCAAAGGAGTATATCTTACTGCTGTACCCTGGATGGGTTAGCTTTATTTGCAGAACTACAGAATGAACAGGGCTCATTTGCTGCAGATTCCACAAGTAAAGCACAGTAACCTCTGCAGCATAGAAACGTAAGGCCTGCCTCCCTCCAGAGAGAGGAAGGGCAGATCTAAGCAAAATCCGCACATACTTCCCAAATTGCCCAATTCAAACAGAACATTTTTCTTTCATTTCCTCCTCTGTGTGTTCACTGGCTGTAGTCAGTTTCTCTGGTAGGTGTCAGGAAACTGTGATACGTTCATAAGAGGTAGAAGAAAGATACGAGGCCCAAAGACATTTTAGGCTTATTCCCTAGATATTTGGAACTTCACCGGCCTTTTTTTTTCTTTTTTTTGTTCTTTTTTTTTTTTTAAATTGAAGAATAGTTGATTTACAAAGTTGTGTCAGTGTCAGGTGTATGGCAGTGATTCTGTGTGTGTGTGTAGATTCAGATTCTTTTCACTTGACCTAGAGATTATCATACTAAGTCAGACAAATACCATATGATATCACTTATATACGGAGTCTAAAAAATGATACAAATGAATTTATATACAAAATAGAAATAGACTCTCAGACAGAGAAAACATTTCTTTTGGTCACCAAACTCAGGAGACTTTCTTTAAAACAAGTTTTTCTCAGGTTATAAGATTCCATCTCATTAAGGTAGCTGTGCCCTTTTCAGGCAAATCCTTTGGCTTTAGAAAATTTGGAGGGTGAGAGTGGAAACAGTGGAGTCACAGCCGAGTCCCCAACATGTACCCTGGGGGGGGGAAGCAGGTCCCTCACACCCAGGGACATGTCACACACACTCTTCAGAAGCACGCAGAACCCAGCACGTGCTGTCATGGAAATGACAGGAGCAAGGTGGCCTCTCCCTGTAGGGAGGGATGGGTGGCCCAGGGTAATGTTTGCACTTGGCTTTTTAGTTTAGTTTTGTTTTGTTTTCTAAATTATGATAAAATACAGCTAACACCAAATGTACTATCTTAACCATTTTCAAGTGTACAATCCAGTAATATTAAGTACATTCATGTTGGGCACCCAATCTCCAGAACTTTTTGGTCCTGCAAAACTAAAACTCTGTTCCCATTAAATCACAACTCCCACCCCACTGCACACCACCCCTTCTACTGTCTGTCTCTATAAATTTGCTCTAGTGGAATCGCATATTTGTCTTTTTACAACTGGCTTATTTCACTTGCCATAATGTCCTCAAGGTTCATCTATGTTCTAGCAACTGTTAGTTTCCTTCCTTTTAAAGGCTGAATAACATTCATTATCCTGGAGAAAGAAATGGCAACCTATCATTATAGGTATACACCAAATTTTGCTATCCATTCATCCATCAATGGACACTTAGGTGGCTTCCTCCTCCTAGCTTTTGTGAACATTGCTGTTATGAACATGGGTGTAAAAATATCTGTTCGAGTCCCCGTTTTCAGTTATTTTGAATATATATCGAGAAGTGGAATTCCTGGGTTATATAGGAGTTCTATTTTTAATTTTTTGAGGAACCTCCATACTATTTCCCTTAACAGATGCACTAATTTACATTCCTAACAACGGTACACAAGGATTCCCTTTTCTCAGCATCTTCGTCTGCACTTTATTCCTGTTTTTTCAGATCATAGCCATGTTCATCGGTGAGGTAGTACCTCAATGTGATTTAGAGTTGTGCTTTTTAAAAACAGCTTTATTGAGATAAAATTTACTCATTTAAACTACACAGTTCAATGGCTCAACAGTGTCACTGAGTTGTGCAAGCAACACCATAATCAATTTTAGAACATTTTTCTCACCTCTAAATTACTCCGTCACTCCCACTTCCCTCCCACCCCAAGTCCCTGACAATCACCAGCCTACTTCCTGACTATATCTGCCTCGTCTGGGCCTTTCCTATGAATGCAGTCACATGAGCTTTGGGACTGGCTTCTTTCAGTTAGCCTCATGTTTCCAGGGTCATACATATAGTAGCAAGTTTATAACTTCACATTAAAAATGTACTTTTGATGAATTTAACATACAATTTTTAAAACTCCAAGACACACTATCTAGGAGGAAGCATCAAAGGTGCTATGCATGAAAAAACGTCAACAATGGTTTTATTTGGATGATGACCCAAGTAACTTTAAAAATTTTATTTTTCTTCATCGTTTTCTGTAATTTTCAGAAATAAAAAAATACACATGTGCTTCTTTTATAATGAGAAAAAATGTATTATATGTCTTTTCAATGTATCCAGTCTTTTGTCTTTGATTTTATTATTTATTTACTTGACTGTACCAGGTCCTAGTTGCAGCATGTGGAATCTAGTTCCCTGACCAGAGATTGAACCCTGGCCACCTGCATTGGAAGTACAGAGTCTTAGTCACTGGACCACCAGGAAAGTCCTGGAAAAAAAAATTTTTTTTAAAGAAAATACTGGAGGGTTTTTTGCCATTGTTTTATTATTTACCACTGTCATAATTTAGCACTTGTCAGATATTCCTTATTTCAGGCAGATCATTTATTTGCCTCTAAAGAAATAGTCATTTACAAAAAAGGAAAGGTGGATTTCCAAAATGCAATGATATTCCTTAATCCATTTAAAAATGAGCCTGCACAAGAGTCTTTTGCCCTCTAGATCATTTTGAAAGGTGTAAAATGCTTCTAGGAACAGTTTGGCAAAAATAAACAGACTCCATCTTTTAGAGAAAGCCTTGGCAACTCGGGGAAGACTATTTTTATCAGATTGGTCTAGTATAAGAAAGATGCATGAATTATTTTCAATAAGTCCTCAGGAAAAGCAGCAGCAATCACAGGCTCCCTGAATCATTACTGTTTCTTAGTCAGTTTTTCCTGTTGCTCATTTTTTTTTTCTTCCTTTATTTTCAAAGTATTAATCTGAAGCTGAAAGAAAAGCCCTAGTTGGCCACATCTGGACGAAGGGGCCGCTCTTCTGCCTCGTGGTTCTGTGGACGGGAACCCATCTGGAAGAGACGGCTCTGACGGTCCTTCGTTTCCACTTTGCACTACCTGGTGCCCTTCTAAATTTCTAAGGGGAAAAACAGTAAGAGCATCTGTTCACTCTTAACATGTTTTATGGAATTGTGTGTATTTTCCTATTTTGCCAATTATGTGCCTCAAAGATTTTAGTTGGACCTTTGCAAGAAAGTAGGACCTTCCATTTCAATATTTCATCAAGCCTCGGTACAGCGGTATTTCGTCTCTTTGTTGACTGCTGTTGACCACTGAGGTAACTTCGGTCCACTGTTCATTGTGAGTGGATTCCTCCTTGCTGATCACTTCAAGTTTAAAATACACAGGACTCAGCAGTCCCTAGGAAGTTGGCCCCACGTGAACTCCACCTTTCAAATCCTAAGCTTGCTTAAGATAGCCATATCGTAGACACAGGTGCGACACCACGTCAGTTAAGCGCCAACCTGGTTCTTGTCCACATTTTTTCTGACATCTCCAAAGGAAACCAGGTTTCCTAATTTACACCAGTTTTATTGTAGTTATCAAATTGGGCATTGTGTTTTCTGGGAATTTGGTCTTTAAAAAAAAAAAAAAATCATTTCTTCAGTGAATGTTGAAGACCTCCAAACTGGGAAACTTAAGGATCAATGTTCACATTTCTGGTAGCTGTCTTTCATTCAAGCCATGAGCTTAGTTCAAGATGTCACACTTTAGTACTAAGGATACTACGGAAGGCGGCCCCTCAGAAATTCATTCTTCGGTAACATTGAGTTATCTGAATCTCTCTCACATGTATTATAAGACATAATCTGCTTTAACACACTCACAGGCTTAAAATTAAATATGAGTATGTACTACCCTTTGCAAAATAGTTCTTTATAGTCTTCACATGTTTTTTAAAATACCAGCATGGTTTAGAACCCGTGGGCCTCTAGAGGAGAGAGGTGTTGGTAAATCTAGCACCCCCACCTGTTTCCACATGGCCTTCAAGAACAGTTTTCATGCTTTGGGTTGAAAAAATTTTTTTTACTATTTCACGACATAAGAAAACTATCAAATTTCAGTCCCCATAAATAACGTCTTATTGAAACATGGCCATACAAATTTGTTGACAGACTCTCTGCAACTACTTTCATCTTACAGCAGCGGAATGGAGTAACTGCCACAGACCACATGGCCCACGGAGCCTAAAACATTGACTCTCTTTATAGACAGCGTGTGCTGAGCCCTGCGCCAGCCCACGCGACCTTCCTTGGCCTCCCATTTGTAGTCAGATGCTGGTTTCTCTAACTGTGCACAAATTAGGCTGCAAATTAATTTACTCTTAAAAAAAGAAACCTTTGGCATCCACAAATCAGTAAGACTCATGGCCTGCTGACAAAGGCAAGGAGTCCCAGCCATGAACACATGGATCAGGTTGTGTTTACACAACCCAAAGTGAAGCCTGCTTAGAAGGCTTTTGGATGTTCAGAGGTGTTGCTGAGGTCCTGTCCTTACCCTGGAAACTATTCACAGACTCCACTATCACATATTATTAACACACTCTTCAAAATTAAACTGTAGTGGAGACCAGGGTTCCATCACAGTCTGAGAGTGATAACTATCTCCAGGAGAGCTTTCGGGGACATGTCGAGCCCTGGGTATCATGAGCTTTGAAGTAGACATCTTTGCACAAGTTTCTGAATTTCACTGCCTTCATCTGCTTCATGTCCAGTAACATTGAGTTATCTGAATCTCTCTCACATGTATTATAAGACATAATCTGCTTTAACACACTCACAGGCTTAAAATTAAATATGAGTATGTACTACCCTTTGCAAAATAGTTCTTTATAGTCTTCACATGTTTTTAAAAATACCAGCATGGTTTAGAACCCGTGGGCCTCTAGAGGAGAGAGGTGTTGGTAAATCTAGCACCCCCACCTGTTTCCACATGGCCTTCAAGAACAGTTTTCATGCTTTGGGTTGAAAAAATTTTTTTTACTATTTCACGACATAAGAAAACTATCAAATTTCAGTCCCCATAAATAACGTCTTATTGAAACATGGCCATACAAATTTGTTGACAGACTCTCTGCAACTACTTTCATCTTACAGCAGCGGAATGGAGTAACTGCCACAGACCACATGGCCCACGGAGCCTAAAACATTGACTCTCTTTATAGACAGCGTGTGCTGAGCCCTGCGCCAGCCCATGCGACCTTCCTTGGCCTCCCATTTGTAGTCAGATGCTGGTTTCTCTAACTATGCACAAATTAGGCTGCAAATTAATTTACTCTTAAAAAAAGAAACCTTTGGCATCCACAGATCAGTAAGACTCATGGCCTGCTGACAAAGGCAAGGAGTCCCAGCCATGAACACATGGATCAGGTTGTGTTTACACAACCCAAAGTGAAGCCTGCTTAGAAGGCTTTTGGATGTTCAGAGGTGTTGCTGAGGTCCTGTCCTTACCCTGGAAACTATTCACAGACTCCACTATCACATATTATTAACACACTCTTCAAAATTAAACTGTAGTGGAGACCAGGGTTCCATCACAGTCTGAGAGTGATAACTATCTCCAGGAGAGCTTTCGGGGACATGTCGAGCCCTGGGTATCATGAGCTTTGAAGTAGACATCTTTGCACAAGTTTCTGAATTTCACTGCCTTCATCTGCTTCATGTCCGTCCTGCACCCACGTGCCAGACATGCTCTCACACACACAGGTCGGCTCTCTCTCCTCCGTAAGCCATAGTTACTCTGTCCCCTTCTCAATTCCTTTCAACTTGGTATCCTATTAGATCATTCTTCTGAGTCTCCACCCTCATAACGTCTGGCTTGTCTGATAGAAAAATCCTGGAGCACGTCTTCCACAGCCCACCTCCACCTTTGGCAGCCCAAACTGTGCCTTTCCCAGAACTTAGCATGGACAGAAGTGCAATGACCCGATTTCCCAGTTTGTTCACTGTTGCCCTGGCATCATTATTAATAATGCTCTCTCTCGCTCAGTAAAGTTTTTGGAAGATGAATTATGTGGTCCCCTTAGCCACAGGAAGTAATAAAGAATTCAGTGTTCAGCTGAGAGGTATGAACTGGCGGTTCATAAAAGGTTCTTGTGACAGTCAACCAGAAACAACAACAGCCTTAGCATTTACATTTTCTCTGAACTTGTCCAGCCTGTTCATGGAGGGCTACTCGGGTGGTATTGTGTTTGGAGTTTTATCTTCCTATGTGGAAATTATGAGCATCTTTCCCAATCAATGATTTTGTTTGGACTGTTCAATGGGCTGCATAACCATTCTGATAGTTAGGCATCTGCTATCTTATTATCTTAAAAAGAAACTTTAATTGCATGTGCTAGAGAAAAGCCACCATGTAAATTCAAACCAAGTGAATAGAAGCCTAGAAGAATTCTGAAAAAAATAACCCCTCAGCAAATAGGTAGACAGATGTAAACATTCACACCATTAGCTATCTCGCTTTGGCATTCTGAGCATTCTTGCTTTGGTTCTGACTTCTGGGAACTGTTTGCACTTTTCCTGTAGATATGTCGTTAAGGGAACCAAGGGGTCATTGGGGCAAAAGTATTGTTTTCCCAAAGTGTCAACTGCTATTCACTCAGCTCCTTGATTAAGAGAAAGAATAAAAATCTGCCCAGAAGATGTTGTCAAGGAGTAAGAAAGTCTGTCTGAGGGCAATAGCTGAGGGTGGAAGAAAACCCGGAAGTTCCTGTTGAAGCCATGCAGTGTTTTATGGGGTTATCTTCTAAGACATAATACCGACATATGTGAGGAAGTCACTACTCCAGGCCTTTGTGTTATTAAGGTCTCATTTTAAGTATTCAGTTATGGTACTGAGTTTCCAACTTTCATCTAATTAATCATAATGCCTCTGTAGTTTGCTCCCTTAGAAATGTTTAGATGTGCACAAATGAATCTTTTATATGTTTAAAGGTTTTTTTCTACCATGTATTGAATTGCTCAGAATAAAGTATCTATTAGACCTTTGTTTTAGTAAATAAATTCTACATAAATAGTGTGAATTGATAACATAAAAATATGTAACAACACTATATATATATATTCATATATATATATAGCCTCTCTGTATAATTCAGAAATAAAAAAAAATGATTCCACAAGTGATGGCATTCTTTCTCTGAGTCAGTAAGAATCTATTTCCAGCTTCACTTTGCAGGAGGTCTTATCTGGATGTCAGTCTAGCTGGGCCCTCAGTCCTTGAGAACAGTATAAATTTTGGCATTCTTGTCACCCAAACTTTATTCCCTTTTCATTTTTGTTTTCCATGCCTCAAACAGCTACACTTTCAAAATGTCTTGTTTGCTTTCTGAGAAAGCAACTTCTCACTTGGGAAGCATCTCTCAGTTTCATGGTTACTTGATTTTGTCAACTTTTCCTTTCTCTGTCCCTTATCTTTCCAGAGCAGAGGTTTATTTTTTAATTAAAATGCATTAAATACCACTTTAAATTTAGGTTCTTTAATTTTTACTTTCACAACCATCAAACAGCTTTGGGAATCACCACTGAGCTTTTTTTTTTTTTTAAACCTAATAAACAAATGTGTGCCTCTGCCTCTCAGAAAGTTGTTGGAATAGCCAAATGAGAAGTTGCTTTAGAAAAAGTGAGACACTTCATGTCTTCATGATCTAGGATTTAGTGCTGGTGGATACTGTCCTCAGATATATCTAACTAAGAGAAGAAGGATAGGTAATTACAGGCAGATGAAGGGCATGATATTACAAGGTGGACTGTTACATCCATTCTGCTCCCATCACCTAACTATGGTTGTGGGAATGGGAATGGGCTAGGCATCCAGCACTAGCGGAAAGGATGGGTGAAATGTGGAGGATACACACTATGGTAATCTTGCCTGGAGAATGCCAGGGCCGGGGGAGCCTGGTGGGCTGCCGTCTGTGGGGTCGCACAGAGTCGGACGCGACTGAAGTGACTTGGCGGCGGCAGCAGCACAGACCACAGAAAAGCCGTGTTGAGGCGCTTTGGGACGTCAAGGGGCTGTTCCCTTCTACCGCTTCTCCTGTGGTTTTACCGTTTCTCTGATGGTTTCACTGATGGTTTTACCATCAGTGGTCTGCAGCTGCCCGAAGCCTGTCCTGGGCTACCCGACCCTGAACAGTCATGGAGCTTTTAATAAAACTGGTGACTTCTTACACATCAATCCTCACACAGCTGTAGGCTTTATAAAGCAAGGAGACTGCCCTGTGAAGCTAATTTTCCTACACTTTCATTCACATCCATTCAAAACAATTCTCTTTAGTCAAGCGAAATTATTTCTTTTCAATATATAGCCATTTTAGTGATACTCAGATGACAGACCCCAATAATTGCCATCCACTAACTCTTGTCTTACCCTCAGTGAGACACCTACACCCTCAATGCTTAATCATGCTTTCCTGGTGAAACTCTTCTCCCATAGATTGGTGAATTGAATTGTCCTTTCTCTCCCCATATTTGTTATCTATTGGTACATAATAAATTACAGTGAATTCTCATTATTTGAGGCAGTTAAATCCTACTAAGGCAATGAGAACACTGAATCAGTGCATACTGATCCACCACTCCTACAGGAAAACAGGGTTAGGTTCCCGTGAGCCTCTGGTCACATTTCCATCAACTGATCCATAACTAATCTTATTTTATTTGTGTTTCTGTTTACATACACTTTCTTTAATATATCTTGTTGAGTCACATTAACATTGAACTCACAGCCACATTGAACTCACAGCCAAATCCTGAATATAACTCATATCTGAATGAAGATCATCTATTACATGAATTTTCTCTGTAAGGCACATTTCCTTGCACTTAGGAACATTAGACAGCATTTCAGCTCTATGCTTGGCGACTATAAACAGTAAAATTAGCAAAAAAAAATCACAAAATTCCAAAAACATGACACTAAATAGACCATGAAAAAGTTGTGTATTTATTTACAGTATGAGAACTGGAACCAGAAAGGTGAGCTTTGCTTTGTTCAGCCTCATCTGGGAACATGTGCATCAGACAAGTCAGATTTTCATCTTTCTGTATCTGTCTGTAAATGATCATGAAAACAAGATGAACATGGATTTGGGGTTAAAAATAAATTTTAGTGAATAGGAGAATTTGCTATTATGGGAATTCTTAAATAATGAAAATCAACTGTGTATGCCAAGACTTAGCAGCCTGAACATGACACATTTATTATCTCAGTTTCTGTAAATTGGACATCCTGATACATCTTAGCTAGGTCCTCTACTTTAAGGCGTCTCATAGGCTGGCAACCAGTGTTGGCTCAAGGTCTCTCACAAGACTGACATCATCAAGATGGTGACAAAGGTCATTCGTGACATGGCTCCCTCTTGTAAGAGGTTCAACTGGGAAGGAATCTGCCAAGTTCATTCACATGGCTGTTGGCCAGATTCAGTTTTTCGAAGGTTGTTGAACTGAGGGCCTTGTTGGCTGTTAGATGGAGGCTATCCTCACAGTCCCCTCCAACATGGCATCTTGTTTCACTGACAACAAGAAGAAAGAATTTGCTGACAAGAGGGAGGGTGCCATTTTTATAACCTTATCACAGAAGTGACATCCTGCCAATTTTGCTGCATTCCACTGATTAGAAGCAAGTCACTAGATCCAGCCCCACCCAAGGGCAGAGGATTACAAAGGATGTGAACACTGGGAAGCAGGGACCCTCGGGTGCTTCTT